TACGTCATAGCACTAAGGGCAAATCATTCCATATTTGCTACGTCACCTAATTCCATGCAATATTAGAATGATTTTTTTTTTTCTATTTTTAAATGTGGAAAACCTACTCAACTAAGAACACTTTCCATGCAAATCTTTGGACTCATAACCCTTTTAAACTACACGACACCCTTCCATTATCTTATTTGATTCTCCAAAATCTGATCATTTTGATCATAATAGACACAAAAAGTTGATTTGGAACAAATTGATTCAAAATCTTGACTAACCACAAAGCCAAGAAGGCGGCTTGGCTTGGCTTGTCTTCTTCCTTGTATGGTGCTTTGCATTCATCGTTTCTGTATTAATTTTTAACTCAGTGGCGGCTGCTTTAACACCTTTTTGTAATGAAGCAAAAGCCTAGAGGTGGGTGTGATATCATATTTGACTGCCTTGTTTTAAAGTGCTACCATAAAGAGTATCTCAACGTACTCTTTTATAGACCATACATATTGGATCATTAATTGCTTTTGTCGTTTGCTGTTCTTATGATATTAAAAATAAGGGAAAATGTACATTCCATTGGGAGGAAATTCTACCTTGTTAATTCATAAGATGATCATGAATTTATAAGTAAAAAATACATTTTTATTGGAATAAGACACTTTAAAGAAGCCCATAACAAAACCACAAGCGTTCTCGAAGTATGAGTATCAGTATCATGTTAAAAAAAAGAAAAAAACTTTCCATTACTGTCAAGAACAGTACAAATTATTCATCGTGGCTGTTGTCTTTCTCAAAACTCTTTTAGTACATGCTTAAACCGTAACTCTTAGCTTTCTCCGGCTTCAAGCGCCACGTTCTGACATACGTGGGAGAAGATTAGTGGTGGTGGGGATCAGGGCCTCCCGGCGACCGACGCGCCACTTGACGTTGATGAATGCCTTCTGAGCCTTCGGCGGCAACCAACCCAATGTGGAAGTTGTCCTTGGAACCCAACAGCGCTGGCCGGTATGAGTTAGCCGGAAAGTTTGGTTCTGAGTGTAAACCAAAAAGTGGACGAGATTCGGAGCCCGCAAAAGAGTGTGCGGCCAAGACGATGAGGCAGACCCAAAACATAAACTTGGCCATTTGTTTGTTTGAATTTGAGGAAGTAGTTTGAAGCGACGTATAGGGTCGAGATGTGGCGGGTTTTTATAGTCGCCAAGCCCATCTTGTCTTAATCTAATCATAATGTGCCTTTTTATTTCCCTAATGAATTCATTGGTTGAACTTAAAGAATTTACGGCTCGTCCTCTTGCATGGATTTAATACCACCTTTATTGACTCTGCCCCTACCTCTTTCCAATCTAATTCTTTTACTTTAAAATATTTTTTTCAATTTCCAAATTGGATGATAATGACGAAGGACTGAGCGATCATTTGATTCGTGTATCTAGCTACAACCTATTTTGTTTTGGATCGACAAATAGTTGGCTTAATTTTTTATTAATTAATTTCTTTTGGGTCCTACTGGTCAATGGAGAATCTAACTTTTATCCAACTTACACACAGTAGTGTTATAGATTTTAGTGGGAGATTATAATTTTCTATACATGTTTTTAGGTCGAGAGTTTGTCGATCATGAGTTGCATTTAAAACAAAAACTAATGCCGTGGCTGGAAGCTTTGAAGAGGAAAAGGAAATGTAGATATTGGATGAGGTTTAAAGAAGAAGGGGCCTCAAACTCATTGCTCCTAACTTGACCACTCTCCATTCCAATCTCCACTTGGGTAGAATCGTACACCTCACTCATTCCATTTATATGAAGCATTTGAAAAATAAAACAGACAAGACTATCACTCTCGTGCCTTGTAAGAGTCCAAGTCCACCACTAACAAATATTGTCTCTTTAGTTTTCCTTTTGAGACTCACTAAAAACAACCCTAATTCTCAACCAACTCTTGGTTCTTTGAATAAAAGTAATTAACACCTGTTTATACAAAATTACAAAATTCGAATCGACAGAGATAACGCTAGAATTAGATTACCTCTCAATCGAAAAGGTGTAGAAGCAAAATTTGGAAACATTGTTCTAAATTAAGTCACTCCACCGTCGAATTCGATCAAGACTTGATTAAATGGCTAGCATGCAATTCTACCCCACAATTCATTGAAACTGGCAAAATTGAATTTGAGATCTGAATATTCGTCCACGAATATGATTTTTACATTACATATTGTGGGTATTTATAGTCTTCCGACAAAAACGTTTGTGGCTAGAATTTATTCCGATCCCCTCTAATCTTCACAAAATGTTGGAGTGAAATCGACCATTTGACTCTCACACAATTTATGAAATTAAAAGTAATACATTCCAACCATGGTGATGCGTGATCTCATTTTATTTTTCTTTTTTAATTCAATGATATTATTCAAACTTCTAAAATTTTGTACATGTTTTCGTTAAAAAATATTTTTATTACTGTAGCAGAAGCTTAATTTAAAAAATTATTTCAAAATGTTTTTCTGTTGAAAATATTATTTTAGTGTAAACATATTTTAATTTTTTTTTTTTTTTTTTTAAGAAAAATGAACAATAATCTGAAGGTGGTGACTTTGGAGTAGGCTTGGAAGGGAGACGATGAAGAAGCAATACGCAGAGAACTTAGGACTGCAATCTATCCTCTCTTATCCGCAACCTAACAAACCATTATCAAAGTTTGGAACGAATCTCCGGTGATCCGCACCCACACTAGAACTCGCCCATGGCGTTCGCTCTCGGAATATCTTCCTCAACCGCGATCTTGGCTTCTCGATCACTCTCTTCTCTACTCCCCCACGCATTTCGTCCCTCATCTAGCCCTAACTCCAGGTACATTTCCATGGAAATTAACCAACCTGCACTCTTTTCAATTTCCCCTTTATTTTTTCTTCTCTCCTGATTGTCGTCTTTCTCACTGCGTCTTTGAGGGCTCCGAACTCATTTTTAGTTTCTTTTACTCGTCTCTTGAAGCCTAATATTTGAAATTCTGGTGACGCAAATCTTGAATTTCAGCAATTTTCATCGAACCGTTTATGTGTAAGCAGATGGTAATTTTGCAGCTCATGGCAATGGGAAGAAGTCTTTTGGGAGTATTAGGATTCAGGGGAAGAAGGAAGGGCCTCAGGTTCAATGTAATGTTGCGGCTGAAATAAACACTGTCGAGCAGGTATGTTGCACTCCACAATGTATATGGGATGCCGTCTGGCTCTGGTAAACTAACTGTAAACCAAATAGAATTGATGATGTGCCATTTTAAGCCTTTCCGACTGGCTTTACAGTTTCTTGAACTTTGCTTATAGTCGGGGAAAATGTTTGTTAAGGTCTTTACTCCTACAACATCTTTACTGGTCAATGAACTAGAAGGATGTTAGTTTAAACAATTCTTTAATAGTTTCTTTAGAAGGAATAAAGAAGGCAAAAAATTTAGTGGTGAGAAAATGAATGTAGAAATCATTGGGGTTGTTTCAAGATTAGATGAGTATATAATATTATTCGTAATTTTTCAGGCTGCGAATCTCTCAAAAGAGAGTCAGAGGCCTGTTTATCCATTTGCTGCTATAGTTGGGCAGGATGAGATGAAACTATGCCTTCTTCTGAACGTTATTGACCCGAAAATAGGAGGCGTCATGATAATGGGTGATAGAGGAACAGGAAAATCCACCACTGTTAGGTCCATGGTTGATTTGCTCCCTGAAATCAGAGTTGTATTTGGGGATCCCTACAATTCTGATCCTGAGGACCCTGAATCAATGGGTATTGAAGTGAGGGAAAGTCTGGGGAAAGGAGAGGAACTTTCAGTGGTGATGACCAAAATCAATATGGTTGATCTGCCATTGGGTGCTACTGAAGATAGGGTCTGTGGGGACTATTGACATTGAAAAGGCACTTACTGAAGGTGTGAAAGCATTTGAGCCTGGCCTTCTTGCCAAAGCGAACAGAGGTATTCTCTATGTAGATGAGGTAAATCTTTTGGATGATCATTTGGTTGATGTCCTACTAGATTCTGCTGCTTCTGGTTGGAACACAGTTGAGAGAGAAGGTATATCCATTTCCCATCCTGCCCGATTCATTTTAATTGGTTCAGGAAATCCAGAAGAAGGGGAGCTTAGGCCACAGCTTCTCGATCGGTTTGGAATGCATGCACAAGTAGGTACTGTAAGGGATGCAGAGTTGAGAGTGAAGATTGTAGAGGAGAAGGCCCGGTTTGACCAGAATCCCAAAGAGTTCCGTGAATCTTTCAACGCGGAGCAAGAGAAGTTACAGCAACAAATTTCATCGGCTAGAACTTCACTTTCCTCTGTGCAGATAGGTCATGATCTGAAGGTGAAAATCTCCAAGGTTTGTGCCGAGTTGAACGTCGATGGATTGATTGAGAGGAGACATAGTGACAAATAGAGCTGCAAATGCAAAGGCTCTTGCAGCTCTAAAGGGAAGGGATAAAGTTGGTGCAGAGGATGTAGCTACTGTCATTCCCAACTGCTTAAGACATCGTCTTAGAAAAGATCCATTGGAATCTATTGATTCTGGTTTTACTTGTCATTGAGAAATTTTATGAGGTATTTAGCTGAGAAAGGTTATACAAATGGCCTTGTCTCTGCAACTCTTTTTGTAAGTGCTTATTGAAGAGTTTCCCTTCTCCATTAAATATGAGAAGAATTTTAAAGATATCCAATACAAGGGTAATTCTTATTATCTGGAGAAATCTACGATCTCTACTGCTGTAAAACGAGGTCCAATTATATTATCTAGAACTTCATGCACCCTATCAATCATTTGAGTGTTTCCGTTTCAATTCAGCAGTAAAACGAATGGCAGTCTATGTATTGGCCTCAAGAAAAGGTCAAGTTGAAGAATATATGTCCATTGATAGCATATGTAGGGTAGCAGAGAGCATTCACTCTCAAAGGTAACTTTCTCAGCACATGATACTGCTGGCTTCCTCTATTCTGAAATTTTATTTTTGGTTCCTAATTGAAAAGCATCCAAATGAGTGCAATAATCTTTGGAATCTTCTACCTTTTATTCATATCAAACATTAACATCAAAATCTTAGTTCAGTTGAGGTCCAACTTCGACACCACAGTTGAACAATAAAATCTCAAATTTAAGACATAATTGTATCTTTGGATGCAACCCTTGGAACCTTGAAGATAGGGTTTTGCTCCAGAAAAGGTGGTGAACTCTGGAGTACTATTGATGCAGCCCTTATCAAGATCCCGGCAGTTAAACCCCATATCACATACTTCTTATTCCCGGTTTCATAGTCAAAGAAATGAACAAGGTATTTGCATCCCATCCACTCTCTTTCCTCTGATCTCCGATTTTCATCCTGCATCAAATGTTTTAAGACAACATTGCCATTGGCAATCGAATGAAGGGTTCAAGATCAAGAACAGAAAATAGTTATATTTTTTTTAAAATTCTCCACCAAAAAGAGTTACCTTAATGAACATATCAAGTGGAGCGTCAAATACTTCTTCCACTTCAGCAGGATTTGGTCTGGGAATGAATGCATTTCTGTCAGTCATAAGGCCTATAACAGGAACCACTCTTAGGAGATGCTGCAAAGAAAACAGAACAGATCATCAGCAAATGCTTCTTGCTGCACTCAAAACTAGGAGTGTTCTTATAGTCCAAAATATAGGGTGTACCTATTCGAAGAAAGCATTTGAAACTGAAAGCAACAAAATTTTAGTCTCTACGACTTATTGCCTCAATAAGAAAAAGGAAACATCTTGGAGTTCCCATGAAACCAAACTCTGATAATCAGAAAACCCTAATTTACCAGCATAAACCTTCGGCCATGCCCTACATCCTCTTTCTTTTTCTACCCATCAAGCCCCCAAGATAAGGCGTTGAGGATTAGCACGAGTTTCCCTTAAAATCTGCACTTTGAAAGAGAGAATTTTCACAAGAACCCTTGAAGCAGGATCGTTTCGTGCATTAAGGCGCCAAAAGTTGAAATTTCGACGCTGTATTCTTCGTTAATTTGATCTTAAAATATTAACCTATTGTTTCCTATGATCAGAAATGAGTCCGTTCTACACCCTAGTAGGGAGTTTCAATGATCGATCGAATACTTATCATCGCAAGTCCAGAAATTTTGAGGGGGGGAGCGAGAGCACAAACCTTAGACAAGAATGGCTCAAGAACAGAAACAACATTTACAAGCGAAGGATCCAAACCAATTTCCTCCTCCGCTTCTCTCGTCGCAGTCGCCCCATCGTCTTCATCTCCTTCCTCTGCTTTTCCTCCAGGCAATGCAATTTCACCTGCACACAAGTTCGCCCCCAATTGATCACTTAACGGCTAATAAAGGTAAATTGAAACAGGGTTCAGATTGATTTGATATATATAGTCAAATAGAGGTACGAATCCTTTTCCATTTTCGGAAAAGGAAAAGGTTAAATTCAAATTTTCGTTTTTGTGTTCTCTTTCCCAGATTAATTTTATCTCTTCGATTCAATCGAACTGCACTGACCTGAGTGAGTAGACAACCTCGTGGATCGCTTGGTGAGAATGACCCGAAGATCGCCATCCTTCCCTTCAAAAAGGCAGATCAACACAGCCGCTTTCTTGGGTCTGAATCTCTCTGGGTCTCGGGAAATTGGGGTGGCCGATTCGGGGAAGCCCACTTGAGAAACAACCTTTCCATTGCTCTCCTCACTGCTTGGCTCATCTATGTCATCCCACAATGGCGGCGGCTTGTAAAGGCGGAGTTGCTGTGCCAAAGCGTCTAGCCTTCTTGAGCACCCAGAAGAGCCCGACGAAGATTCCATGAGTTTTGGGATCTGTGTAATGTAGAGGGATGGTTTCGATAGCCTTCTCAATATTGAAATCATGAATTTAAAGCCTCACCGATTTCTTCATCAATAAATGAGGCAGCCCGTTTCATTACCAACAATAGCTGGTGGGGCTTTTAGCAAGCATTAGGCATTGGTTGGAACGAAAAGGAGTTTGGTTCTGGGCGCTGGGATTGGAAGACGGAACTACGAAACTCACAAGCGTTACTTCTCGCTCGAGAGGAGTTTATTATAATTGTGTACTAAAATGACTTTAAAACTCGCCACTGTCAACGTGACACGTTGAAGTACCTACCATGGATAGATATTTCATCTCAACGAACATGAGTCCCGAAGGAGGACGACAGGTGTTGTAATATGGTCAGGAACAGACCATAACTTTTGAGTTGAAGCATCATCGTAACTCGTAAAACCCACATATCATTGGAGATTAGATTACATAATTTCAAAATCATGAACACTGTTCATATACATTATAACTTATGTAATACTCACTGTTTTCTTTTTCTTTCAAATATATACATAACAAGAAACAGGAAAGAAAATGTAAGAAAATAATGGCATGGGGTCAGTCTGCATGCCAATAATACATTACCTCACACCACTCCATCAATGAACATCATCAAATGACATACAGAAAACAAATGGCTTCTACATCTTTATTGACTTTCTTCCATGAAAATATGAACACCTTTTGTATTCTATAAATGGCATCGATTAGGAAGTTGTTTCTTCGCTCTTAGTGTTTGCTTCATCATCTTCAACGCTTTTCTTGATGCCCTTCTCTTCTGTAGCCAGTTTCTCGGTTTTTTCGGTTGCTGGATACGACAACCTTCGAGCCTTTGGAGTTGATTTTCCATTAGGGGAAGGAGGTTTAACCAAAACTCTTGCTTTTGGGGATGGAGAGCTTTTCTTACCGACTTTGCTTGATTGTCTCATTGTCGATTTCTTTGGAGTAACTAACTTAGATGGTACGCGGCTCTCCCATGGACGAGCAGCAATCCATCGTTCTTTCCAGCTCCAACCCCAATCAGCTTTACCAAGTTCATCTTTACCCAGTCCATACATCTCACTGGAGTTTGCTCTCCACTGAAAGTTTTAGAGGATTTGTGAAATGACCAATGGAGATGAGGGGGCATCATGATGTATAAAATAGTTAACGTTTTGAGTGATTGGCATACCTGATGTGAGAATGCATATGCCATAGCACGTTCACGCTTAACAGCTGCTTCTTCTCTCTCGTGTACCCTTGAAAGAATCTCCTCCATGGTGTCTGCACCGCCACACCACTCTACCTGCAATCCATTCAAACTACTGCATTAACAGGACTGATATGCCCAAAAAAAAGTAACATTCAAGCTTCATAATTGGTATAGTTCTAAAGTTCCTTTATAAACGATTGAACTTAATAGACCCTCAATCTCTTACAACTAAGCAGCAGAAACAACATGAAGGAAACAAGAATCACAAAACAGAGTCAGATGTTTGGGTTAGTAAGACTTTAATAACCATGAGGAGAACTTAGCACACAGGAGAAGCAATGGACTGACCTCAATATCATGAAGTTTAGTCTCAAGTTTTCGTTGATTCTCCAATCTCTTTTGTTTGAGGCGTCCTTCAGTCACCATACACATTCGACGAGCCCTAATTTGAGCCTGTATATTGCTCCATGAATGAAGATAACTTATTGTAGATGTAGCATGCCTTCTAACAGAGTGGCCTTGAGTCAGATTCTGCAGTCTCACAGCTCCTTTCAAGCGACGTAAAATTTTCCTGGCCTATAATAGGTCAAAATATAGCAACATTAACAGCTATGTGCACATAAGAATAACAAAATGCTGCCACTATATGAGTACCTAAAAGTTAGAATGTCTCATCAATCCTGGTTATGAAATATAGGTATGATAAATATGATGTGTAAAGAGCAGATGGGTAAGCAACAAAAGGGGCATGTGACATCAATAAACCCATCATGAAGCTATATTTCAGAGGGAAGAAGGTCGTATAGAAATAGGAACTCACACGATAAGCTCGATATGCAGTCTGAATCCGAACTGCAGCTACGTCTTCAATTGGCATCCCAAGAGACTTGTTGCTCCCATTGGTACCACTCTTTTTAACCTTCGAGGAATCTTTTTCCAGATTATTCGATTTCAAAGCATTTGATTTCTCCTGAGATGATGATTTCCATATCAGAGTAGAAAACTAACAAGAACTGATGAAGAGAAGATTGAAACTTCTCCATTTTATTTCCCCTCCTTTTCTTTCTGAGGAGCCAAGGATCATAGTTTGTACCAAAAAAAAAAAACAAAAATAGCCACAATCTAACCAAAAGAAATTGCAAGAGCATACCTTAGGATGTTTTGAACTGCTGGTTTTTACTTTCCTTAAGCGAATTACTGTCTTAAACCAGTCTCCAGAACCCATGCTCGCTATACAACCTAGAAACAGTTTCACGTTAGTCAAACGCCATTAATATCATTAATAAGCAAGCGTTGGCTAACCCTAGTCTGCTTCAATAATATTTCAGTATTAGGTCTCCCCCTTAAGTTTTTCTTATCTGACCATAGAATTACTGGGTTTACGCAAAAGAAACTTCCAATACAGATCCACAGAAAACATTGAATTGAACTTGAAATTAACAACACAGGAAAGAAACCAAGATAAGATGGTACCCAATGAACATCTGCCAATCAATTATACCACATTTCAAAATCAACAATCTCAGATCATAGCAACTAGTTTATGAAAACAGTGGCTCAAGATCACGCCATTTCATTGAAAAGAAGATTATATGTTCCATAATCACAGACATCATCATCACCAGGGAAGAGAGGGGAAATCCCAAAAAGAATCACAGAACATAACAAGCTCTCTAAGCTAAGGAACTTCAGCATGAACAAGCTTCGAAGTGTTCCAGATCTACTATTTCTTACCGATTTCAAAATCCCATGTCTCAAAACAGCAACACAGAAACGGGGGTAATAGTAAACGGAAAGAAATGCAGGTGAAGAATAGATATACCGAGAAAAGGGTGGAGAGGGAACCAATGAAGAAACCGTTCTAAACCTGGTCTAATGCATAAGCATAGGCACTCCAATTTTGAAAGAGAAGGAAGTAGACAACTGGTCCAGCTTTCTGAAGTCGTAGTAGTAAAGATGAAGGCAATCCCTGAGAGAATAAAAGTGGTTGTTGCAATGTGGATTAGTCATGGCCCATCACCACCCTTTTTTTCTCCCAAAATAGTTTTTAAAACCCAACAAAAAATGAACACCCTTAAACAAATCTTCCTGCCCTCAATCAGAGGCTCAACCAACGCAACAGCTCATAAGAACGAAGATCATACGGTGCTCATTAACTGGTTGGTGGCTTCCTCCTACAGCGACATGGGAACGAACGCTTTGATCGAAAATCGAAATGAAAAAAGAAAAGGGAGTGAAGAAAGAGATGAATGAATGAAAATTTCAGATGGGAATTGTCGAAATTGAACCAACCGTAGAATGAATTATTGAGCTAAGCAGAATGGTAACAAAATTGGTATTTCCTGGCCACTCCTTTTCGACATCTGTACATTACGCAAATCTTGTCGCCCCTCGTCGTCTCCATCTTTATTTCTCTTTTTCTCTTCCTGATCAATCAATTACTGTTTTGAAAATCTTCTTCTTTTTTTTTTTTTTTGAAAATTGAAAAATCTGACCCAATAATTAATGAACGAAGGCATCAATTTCTTTGTTTTTTCTTCCGATTCCATCACGAAGTTTGAAATCTCTCTTCCATTCCGCTTTCTAATATTGTCACCAAATTAATGAAAAAATATAATACTTCTAAATTTTAATCAATTCGTATGACTAACAAATCCCTACATTATTATTTTTTATATAAGAATAATTTCTTGTCTCTCCCCCTTAATTAAGTTCCCAATTTCCAACTATGCTTAAAAGTCAACATTTTGCTTGGCGTTGGCCATTTTATTTTCCGACCTGTCGCTAATAATACCAAACATATTTTCCGCCCCTCAATTTTGAATTAATTTTATTATTATAACTAAGAATATATATATATATATATTTTAAAATTATTTCTCTTATTTAAATGCACCTATGTTTATTAAAGCTTAGTACAGTAAGTTATAACATTTTGAACTTGAGACACGAATGGAAATTTGTAACATCTTATAATTTACGGTACTCAACTTTATAGTCTCCTGATTTTTTAAAATAATTAATTAAATTTGTTTTGAACTGAAGGCATTAATGGTAATTTATAAAATTCTAAAATTGTTTTTGCACTTTTAGCAAAAATAAAGTTTAATGGGTTTAGTTTAATTTGATATTTTAATTATGAAATAGATTTTAATGAATTAATTCATTTATTTCCTTATCTAATTTTAATTCATTTAGGTAATCAACAAGTGTACGGTTATACCAGCATACACGTTATTAATAGTTGCGTGACAAACATAAATAAAGTAATTAAATTCTTGAATAAATAGCGAGGGAGGGACCAAAACAATTTTGTACGAAATTTAATATCTTTATTAAAAATTAATAAAGTCAAATATTGAAAACAACTATGAAAGACTAGAAGTCATATTTTTCGAAAGAAATAATAATAATAATAATAATAATAATGAGTTTTCCCTCTTTGTAATTCAATTTCAAAGATCTTGCGAGTTCTAAAATATATATTTGTGTGTGCAATTAAAACCAAAACACTAACCGTTCTTACAGCTCCCCAGTTGATTCAATCATGGGTTCCGACCACGACTATCGTACTTTCCGGAAGTACGGAGCCCGCCATAAGATCATGGTCTCTGCAATCTTCAGTCTATTCGTCGTGGTTATGTTCATCCTCTTCCTCCACTTTTACCTCAGATATCTCCGACGGCGCCGACGAGAAGCCGGATTAATTAGTCTCGACCAGCAGATTTCACGAGTCGATCGAGAGAATCACACGGCGGCGCCGCTGCCTAAGGCCGGCCTGGACCCTGTCTTTATAGCTAGAGTTCTGCCGGAATCTATCCACAAGCAAGCCGATCATCACGGCGAAATTGTAGAGTGCTCGATTTGCTTGAGCAACATCGAAGAGAAAGCCAGCGTCAGGATTCTCCCCAATTGCAAGCACGTATTCCATGTGGGGTGCATCGATATGTGGCTTTTTTCCAATACAACCTGTCCTGTCTGCCGAACAGCGGTGGAGCCGATAGTTCCGTCAGCCGAGAATGGTGAGGTTCCAACGGCTCCGCCGTTGGCAGAGGAGCAATCCAGCTCTATGATTAGCTCCTTTAGAAGGACGATAAGCAGACAGAGGTCTCAGGGAGTTCAGCCGACAGCTCCGCCGCTGACGGAGGAGCAATCAAGTTCTCGGCTGAGCTCGTTTAGAAGAATAATGAGTAGAGAGAGGGAGAGATCGTTAAGGGTTCACAGTTGTGGAGAAGGATCAGTTCGATCTGCAGATTTAGAAAGGCAATGATTTTAAATTTTGTGTATGCGCATAAAGATTTAGCTCACTGTACAGATAATTTATTAAATCATCACTGCCGCTGTCTTTGCTTTTTGGGTAATGAAATATTGTTGCAATAACTGGGTGTTTCGATCAAATATTTTTCTAAATTTTCCTTATTCTTTAAGTTCACAAGGCTTATGTGCTATAACGCTCAGCTAAGGACACTCTGCCTTGATCTATAGAAGCAGTAAACTGAATTCTGAACTAACGCGTTAAGTTTGGAGAGAGATGAAAATAAATGTTGAATTTAAGCATTAATCATCCTAAAGTAAAAGTCGGTTGTGATTAAAATACATTACAGTGAGCAAATAATAGTAGGTAGCATCTCGCTGTTTCTGTCACTAAATAGTGAAGGAATGACCGAAAGCCTGAAACCAATCTAATCTTGTTTTACAATCTTTATAGACTTCAATCGTTAGCATTTTACACCATGTATCTGCAAACTCATCCGCATATGAACTCCATATCAAAACTTATTCAGCAGATGTCAGTGAACCTTCTTCTCAGCGTGAATCTCCCATGTTTTCCGACTATTTAGCTGCACACAAAACTTTAACGGTAACCTCTACCTCTTCCCCGTCCACCCCAACCTCTTCCTCGGCCACCCCTCATCCCTCCGCGCCCCCCGTAAGATAGCCCTTCCAGTGCCCTATTAACAAGCTGGTTTTGTAAACCACCAGATCCACGACCTTTCTTTGATGGTATATTGTTTGATCCATTAGCTGCAATAGCAGGCCGTTTTCCTCTGTACACACAGTCCCATATTTTAGTGAAACGTTATATCAAACACAGAAAGCTCATCTTCCAAAAGTCTCTAAGACTAAGCGACATGACTAACTTACCCAGCAGCAGAAGTGGTAGTGGACACGGGAGATTTTGTTACTTCCTTCCAAGATAGGTTGATGCTGTTATCCCCAATAAACGAGGGTGCCTTCGCGTGCAAGGGCTGAAAAAGTTTAAAAATAAAGATCCGTTTAGATGGATCGAATATAAAATATACCACAAACAAAGTTGGGAACCACAACTGTCCTCTCTCACCTTTGCCATTGCTAAAATATTATTGCAGGTTCGCAGGCCAGTTTTGGCATTTTGCTGTTGGGTTTTCTACAGAAAAAGAAGAAGTAGAACGATCACATGCTTGTGGCAAAGAGAATTGAAAAACCACGGGTCTAATGAGTGAGAGGAGCACTCACAACGTTACTTTTTGCTTCATCCGACTTGGCTGCTGCCATTGCCTTGTTGTGTTCATCCATCCCTTGAGTTAATTTCTTTATGGTAGCTCTAGTCAACTCCTCGATATTAGTTAACCTGTAGTGTCAAATAGGACATTATTAAGAAGAAAATTGATCAACCATCAAGCCGAAGAGAAACATAGATAGTGGGACGCGGAGGGGGGAGGTTCAACCAGGGCGTCAAAGATGAAAAAGACTGTAAATCAAACACCCTGCTGACTACTCAATGACAAAACAATCAGATCAATAACTGAAACGAAAGTGGAAGAAAGGATTTAAATGATTATTTCCAGTTTCAGTACAACTTAAAAAACATTATTCAAGAGAATTGGCATGCATGAGATGCCCACAATCAACTTCGGAGAGCAGGACAGTAATCCGAAAACTTTAGCCTTGATTTCCAGAGACCCAAGGAATCTCCTTAGTACGTCTGAATTCTGTAAATTTGTAATCTATGGTTGACTTATGCATAGGAATGAATTATATGCATCTCAGTGTGTACAGCCTTGTTTCTATCAAACAACTCAAACTTATGTAATAAATTTACCGATGGAATTGTGTTTTCAATATTAAGCATCTCATGATCGTCACTGAGAAAATGAGGCTAAATATATCATTTGGTCCCTAAAGTTAACACCATTTTTTCTTTCCATTACTAATATTTTTAGAAGTTCAAAGGTATCAGAAAATTTCAATTAACTTCATATTAAAAATTTATCTCAGTAGAATTGCAAAATGGAGACACGAGATGGTTACATAATGAAGAGAGTGGTTGGGAATTAAGAGGTAGAAAGAAAATTTTGAAGGAAATACACACTAACTAAATTAGTTTAGTTCATTTCATCGTCAATTTTTTTTTTTTTTTTTTTTTTTTTCCTTTAAGAAAGAACGGCATTTAAGCAAAAATTATAAAGTTCTCAAAAAATAGAATACCTTTCTGTAAAATCCTTGTAATTATCGGAGAAGTCCTCCCCCAATCTATCTGAAGGCTGGCCGGTAACAATCTTGTAACCACATAAGCTATTTGTGGCATTGGGGACCTAAAAGTACAAAGATAGCATAAGAATGCGACACCAATGATTTGCTTAAGATTTAGCCATAATAATTAGCTGACTAGTACAGGGGAAAATAATACTATTTTCTACGACAACACACACACATATCTAACCTTGTGAGCCAAATGATGAAACGTGTATAACAAGCACTCAACATAAGTAAAGTTCATCTCTTCTCCTGTCTTTCTCCCAGGCATATACTTCTGTAAATAAAAAAGTCCACAGCTTTAGCAAAATATTTTTTCAAACAAACTGATATTAGGTAAGAACATAAAGACAGTCCAAATTTTTCGTCCACAAAACATATATGAATTCCTGTATACAGACTGCCGTATCCCATGCATTTAAATATATAAAGGATACAGTGCAATGTTACATTGAAAAGAAAGATATAGCGGACTAAAAGGGATGACTTGAAAGGCTTGAGGATCACAAAAATACATCCCAGGTAGCCCCACAACGCAGGAAAGGACAATTTATTAAAGTACTTGTTATTGACAATCCATAGGGAGAAAAAGGTTCCCTAGATGAATTTCATAAGAGGTTTCTACTGGAAGGGATTAAAATCTTCCAAGATAGCTCTATTTTGTTTTTATTTTTTTTCATTCTATAGTTTTGTTTTCTTTTTCTTTTTCTTTTTTTAAATCTCTTATTCAAATGAAAGGTTTTAAGTAACTCACTTGGATAGGGGCTTTGCCCCTATTTGTAATTTCATACCATCAGTGAATTTGTTTCTTAAAAAAAAAAAATACCATAGGAGACATTATATCTCACACAGCTTTTTAGAGCATGAGAGTACTGAAGTGCAGAGTTCTTCTAGGATTGAGCGTTAAGTGCTTAAATATGAAAAACAAAATGATATTGTTCATAGTATGATAATGAAATATTTAAGAAATTATACCTTTTGTATGGAAATTGTTAGCGGAAATAAGGTTTTTGAAAATTTTATTTAATTTATTTGTTAAAAAAATTGAATACTGAGGTGCACCATGGGACAGAGCATACCTCAGGAGGGCAACCGACTATTTAAAGCAAAGTACCATTAACTGGGCTTTCTATAGAGGCACACTTTACGAAAACAATGATCCCTAGTCCACTCCAAACGTATGCTCACATGTCCTCTACAATCATTGTTAAAAAAGAGGGGAGTGCGGATCAACCTTCAATAGTTGAACAATGGATGGAAGAAATTGACGTGAATCTTGAGGTGTGGTGTATGGTGAAAATTCTGCAAGCGCTTTAAGCAAATCCAGCTTGCGTTCCTCAGGCAGCTGAAAAGCAGAAAGCACAAAAGATTAGAAGATCAAATTTCCGGTATTGGGTTAATTAACAGGACACCAACTTCAGTAAGGAATAAGATTGCATGGTGGAGATTTCTTATAAATAGGAAGGCAGCCATTGAATTGAAATAAGACATTTCCTTTCGAAGGAAAAGAAATGTTCTATTTTTTGTTTAAGAGTATATAGTTAAAAAATTATTCGGAAAATATAAATTTATGTATATTTATAAATTACTCAGTGCACCTGCTCAAATATATAAATAAACTCAGTGCCATAGAATACCAGCATCGATTATTCTGCATTCTTGAGAAGAAAGATGGAACAGTTATGTCTTTTAAAGATTGTTTTCTCAGTTCTTTATTCTTCATGTATTTGTATTTTTTATTTATAAACCGACAACTGTGTTAAAAGGTCCAATGCAAAATAATATTAAAGAGTACTACATACTTACACTAGTAAATGTGCAGGGAAAAAAGGTTTATTTTTTTATCTTTGAAAAAAAAGCTACGTCATCTCGCTGTTTCTTATTTTGTTTAGTTTTTCTGAAAAAGAAGAATGGTTAGATGGACAAAAAAACCAATAAGTAACAGAACATGTTGGTTCAAAAACTCTTTCTTGCCTGCAAATGAAAATCACAAAGAAATATGAAACGTATGCAAGTATTTCTAAATATCATTAGGGGAAAAATATATTTTAAACCTAAAATATAATTGCCATCCCATCCTGATAACTTTTTTCACATGGTCACCAAAACCTTGCAATATGCCCGAATGCAAACATATCAAGAAAGAAAAACCTTTTTTTTGATAGAGCAGAGTGTTAAATTTCATTTCGTCCAATCTTCAAATCCACAAAGCAGCAAGTGTTCTTACCTCAGCCAATAGAGTCGTGATGAAAAAATTAAATTTGTACGTACAGTTCTAAAACAGTATTCATTGACATATTTTTAAAAAATTTGACAACCACCTTCTTCCTAGAGGTATTACTTTGGTTGACATAGAAGCTCATAAGATCTTAAATCCTAAGAAGATGGTCCCCATGGTTTGAACCAATTTCTTTTAATCTCATTCACATTTTCACTAGTCGCAATAATCACTAGGCCAATCATGGTGCATAGTCAAATAAAAACGACCATATGCCAAAACTAGAAACATAAGGAAGGGGACTTAAAATAAAATATTATTGCCTAATAAACCAGACCTGGATTTTAGATGGTTGTTTTTTTTACTATAAAAAAGTAGATTTTAATGAGAGAGAAGTACCGAAATTATTATTTACCTTCTCTAAAACTGGAATAACATGCTTGTCCAAATAGCTGAGGAACTTGCAACTTGACGCACCCCTCTGTGTATTGCATGAGAGGTAAGCGGTCTCACAAAAATATTTGGGAACATGGTGAAATCATCGCTCACTTATATAAAAGGTAAAAAATGTACATACCACAACAAAAGGAACAGCCATAAAAAGGCATGATATCAACCTATCAATATGATCTGCATCTGAAACCTGCATTAAAACGCCACTTGATGGAATGTAACAAATAGGAAGGATAATTAAAATGAAAAGGACGAGGAAAAATTTTGATTCCCAATATCAAAAAGAATAATGTTGATACTAACTCAGTAACAAGATAGTGGCCAGCAAGATAATATTTTAACTCAGACAAAGCAAAATCACTAAATACTGTAGCGTACCCAAAGCATTTGCAAGAAAAAGATCATGTTCCTATTCTAATATTTTAAATAGAAACATGCTTCGCACTTCAGTCCTAAACACAATTATCATCAACGAAATTGTTTCCCATCCAAAATGAAATTAATCTAATAAATATTGCAATAGTCTCATGGTTGTGAAACTTCACACTCAAGATTCATAAAGCTTCCTAAAACAGAACTGGTAATTGAAAAGTCACACCCTTTTCAAGTTTCCAAAAGAAGGATACTGATCAAACTAAAACTATTTCACCTCTACTTCGCTATCGAAACCATCTGTTTTTACAATCTGAACGAATTAAAACTGAACATCACTTTATACATAGGGTGTATGGCATTGTCTAAACACATCCTCAACAAGAAAACTCCTACCAGAATGTTTAAGCATAGGATGGAAAACATAAATAATGTCACATATTCCACAAGTTGTACTGCTACTAAATTTAGGAATCAATATTAAAAAAAAAAATTAAAAAAAAAAAATCTATAAATGCAACAAATCAATGCATTAGGCACACATGATAGTTGGAAAAGATTTTATTACAGAGTGACGCAGGATGAAAATGCAAAGAAATCGGAATGCATCACTATATATTTAGTTTGCAATTAATAATTCGCAACTATGAAAATGTTAGTATAAGCAATAGCTACTCACATTGAACTGAGAATCTAAATCAGCTTGCCCTTCAATGATTCCAATAAGTTCCTTCAATCTCTCTGGTGGGGCTTTTTCTCCAAATATCCCCAAACTTTTTAAGAAGTCCATAAACATTCTAAACTCGGCTCCAGTCACATCTTCTAAACTCTGAAATAAGCGGAATTACATTACTTGCTCATCCTCTAGTACAGTAATAAAATCAAACCTGAGCTTTATAACTCAGAATGGATTAACAGCCAAAGGAATAAAAAAGCATTAAATAGACTAAGCATTTTATCAAGTTTACCTTTTTTATCAAATCTGTTATGTGTCTCTCCATTTCCTCTTGGGGCTTCAAGAGTTCAGTTTTAGCTGGAAAAACCTAAAAATAAAAAGGAAGATTGGGATCCACTAACAAGTACGAAATAATAACAAATATAGCTGCAAATGACACTGCTCATATCTCTACCGAACCTTATCTCTAATAAAGCTTAGGACCTTCTCACGAATAACTTCATCTGTAGTTGGTTCATCAACACTTCCAATATGCTTAAACAAGGCTGACAATGAAGCTGCAACATCACATACATACAATGAGATTATAAGTGCATTGATGAAACAAAAGAGAGTTAGGTAATTAATTCACGATTAATTTGAAAAGTTTAATACGAGGGAACATAAGTTCCCATCCAAAAAGGAAAAAAGGCAGAGACTTCATTAATCCACCGTTTTATACACAGAAGAAGAAAATTCACAATAGTGCTACTGAAAACTAAGATCATCGGTCTAGCTTATAGTATAGTTGATCAAAGGTTAAACTGTGTACGAATGTTCATGTACTCTAAAAAGAATGAAAATCAGATCCTAGTATTTAGAACATACCTTTAACATCCTGCCTCAAGAGAGCCATTAGAGCTCTATGGACAGCATCGCGCTCCACAAATTCCTCTAAAGCATTAAAGATTGCTAAAATCAAATTTCCGATTGGATAAGACTATAGTTTTTTTTTTTTTTTTTTCTTTCGAACAAATTAAATAAGACTACATCTTTTAGAACTGAACAATAATTTACCCGATGCAAGAATTTGAACAAGAATGTCAACAATTTTGCCTATATTTTCTGGTGTATCCTTGCAGAAAAGAGGAAGTCCTCGAATTGCCTGAACTCGTATCTGCATAGTCATGTAAATAGAAGAAACCTTATAAATAGAACGTCGATAAAGCACCTAACAAAACCAGCTCAAGAAATGTATAGAAAATTCATTACGACGAGAGCGGAGAACTGCCCTAGAAACGCCTAATAACCAATCAAGCAGACAAAGTCTAGAAATTATAAGCTATTAAATTCCCTTGTTTCTATGACTTCTTTCTTCGACAAAGTTTAGCAGCTAGAAAGGATAAGTAAAATGGATTGGGAAGTCCAAAATATACGAACCGCCAGCTCCTCTTCTTCAATCAGATCAATATGGGCGTCGATGGCAGGACCAGAAAGGGTGGGAAAAAACTTGAAGAACCTAGGAATGAGTTGAGCGGCCAATTGCTTGGCTTTGGTACTCGTTTTCGCCGCATCTATAATCCCTTGATAATCTTTCACATGCTGTAACAAAGGCCAAGAGAGTTACTCCCAAAATCAAGACCCGCCCCGCATATTCAAGTTTCTTAAAGAAGGAGAAGGAAAGTGAAAATGAGCAGAAGACCTGGGACTTGTCCTCGGCTTTGTTGAGACGCTCGCTGAACTCATAGAGATTCTCGATGTGTTGGACATCTTCGGAGGGCTCACTCATTGGCGCTAACTCTGGAAACTGAAACTGCGGAATGACAAATGGCAGGAAACTTGTAGTTGCAGAAATGGGGCAGTGAAAGTGTGAGAAGGAGCTTAGGGAAGAAGAACCAGAGAGCTTCGAAGGGTTAAGTGAAAGAGTTGGCCTCGGAGTTTTGAAGGGTTGAGAGAAAAGCCAGGGAAAAGGGCTGTCCGTGTCCGAGACATCTTTGATCTGCTCATACTCAGTAGCGGCTTACTTAAACGACGGCGTCTCCTTCCCTCTAAAACACACCGTTTTGACCTCTAAAGTTTCCATTTTTATAAACGCGGTGTCGAGGAGTTTTATAACATTATCCTCAACAATTTGGATATTAATTAAGAGACTAAAAATAATATTTCTCATTCTCTCTGAAGAAATAAATAAAATTTAATTAAAAAAAAGTAGGAGAATTATTTCCGTCTCTGTTCACTTCAAATTAATTGTAACAACTTCTTCCTTCCCTAAGTATTTGATAAAAAAAATAAAAAAAATGAATATCAAAACATAAATCATAACATGGGCATGGTCGAAATAGAAGGATTGGGTGATCTCCCACATAATAAGACATGGTGAAGTGGGTGTTGGATAATGAAAGTCCCACCGGAGAGCTTATGCTCAAATTGGACAATATCATATTATTATCGAGAATAATGTTCATTTAATATATGGGAGTTACTTGAGTTCCTCCTCCCCACTGAAAAGGATATACAGAGGCCAATATTGGCGCTAAAATTAAGCAAACAAAATATATTTATGATACACCAAGAGTGGCAACAAAATAAATGCATAAACCATAAGTACAAATCAGGGATTTGAATAGAATCATACAAACAACTAATATGATTAGAGAGAGGAAATAAAAAGCATATACTACATCTATTTAGTGTTGAAATTATTGGCAATGCTATGAAGATAAGAAATTGACGGCAGGCTCAATAAATTAAGCTCAACTGCTTTCCACATCCACTCTCACCTAAAAATTAAATTCTCTGCTACAAATCAATGGAGTTTTTTGGCCTAATCAATCAGAACGCAGGCACATGCTCGCTCATCCATTTTCGACCGACCAACTTACAGGCCATTCCTCTCCATGCTCTTAAATTCCCTTCAACCATTTGTCGGGTAATGTTTAGGAGCCAAGATCTGATCTTTTTCCCTATTTAAACAATTGGGTCGAGCGGGGAATTCCCAGGAAAACAACCATACGAAAAAACGGCGAGCTTTCTTGATTCCTGAAGATGGAAATTATGGTGACGAAGGTTAAGAATGCTGTGCTATTGTTATTGATAATGGGGATTGGTTTTTGTCCGCCATTAATGGAGGGGAAGGAAATTGCAGAGGTGAATGTGCAGCAGTTGAGAAAATTGGCGTCCAAGTATAATGTAACGAGTTTGTTGGTGTTTGGGGATTCTAGCGTTGATCCTGGTAACAACAATGTTCTTTCCACGAACGTGAAGAGTAATTTCCCTCCTTATGGGAAGGACTTCTTTAATGCTCGCCCAACTGGGAGATTCTGCGACGGAAGGCTCGCCACCGACTTCATTGGTAATTAACCACTTTTTCTTGTTAAAATCGTACGTTCAAGTTTCAATTTTTATTGAACCCAACTTTTGAAATGATGATTTTAATGGACATTACAGCTGAGGCGATGGGATTTGGAGAAACAGTGCCAGCATTTCTGGACAGAACTTTGAAGCCAATCGATCTCTTGCATGGCGTTAGCTTTGCTTCTGCTTCTTCAGGCTACGATGATCTCACCGCCAACTTATCAGTAAACAAAACAAAAACACCATCTTTTCTCTGTTCTTAATTTCGTTTAACAACCTTATACGGTTTTCGACTAACTTATAAAGCTCTGTTCAGAAAGTGCTGTCGCTTCCGAAGCAGTTGGAGTACTTCATGCATTACAAAATCCAGTTATCCCGACTGGTCCGCCACGACAAAGCAGAGAACATAATCAGAAACGCCATTGTTGTCCTCAGCATGGGCACAAACGACTTCCTCGAAAACTACTTCTTGGAGCCCCAACGCCCCAAGCAATTCAGCTTGGATCAATACCAGAATTTCTTGGTGTCTTCCATGTCTCATAACGTCGAGGTCTCTCTCCTCTGTCCTTGGCAGTATTTAATGTTTTGTTGATGTTCTTAACCATGGTGAGTTGCAGGTGATGCATAGATTAGGAATTAGACGGCTAGTGGTTGTGGGAGTACCGCCATTGGGGTGCATGCCAGTTGTGAGAACCATAACCAACCAGATCACGGCATGTTCCACAACCTTCAACAGAGCAGCCTACGCATTCAATGCAAAGATCAAGCTGAAATTGGCAGCTATGGAAGCAAACTTGGGGTTGCTCACTAGCTTTGTCGATGCTTATGCCATCGTTCAAGACGCTGTCGATAACCCCACCGCCTACGGTACTCAAACAATACTCAATTTGTGTGTTCCCTTCCAATTTTTGAATGGCCTCAAACTAGAAGTTGTGTGTGTTTGGAAATGTGGGCACAGGTTTAAGGGAAACGGCGAAGGGGTGCTGCGGGACGGGATTGGTTGAATTTGGCGAGACATGCAAAGGCTCAACCACGTGCAGTGACCCACAAAGCTACGTGTTTTGGGACGCTGTTCATCCCTCCCAGAACATGTACAAAATCTTAGCCGCCAAAGCCATTCAATCTGTTGCACAAGACATTCTATCCTAGTTTTCTATCCATAGTTTGAAACTTGATACCCATCTGCTTATTCAACGCGCCCAATGTATGGGTTCAGTTCACCAATACAATGTCAAAGTCAGTCTGCCTGGTACACAGGAAATGTTCAATTCCTTCAACAAATTACATAACTTGTTTTGCTTCCTTAATTTATACATTGAACTCAAAACTCTAAATTCCTTTTCTTTATTATATCTGTAATAATCATATTCCACCGTTTTCTTCCTCCTGGCTCCTCTCTGTTCATGCTCGCATCTCCAACAATTTTGAATATTTATAAAGAACATGTCTTCGAAATTTTAAATTCTCCGTAAAAGGAATGTCTGAGTCTGAAAGGGGTTGTTGTTCTTGAATTGTACCTTCGAGTTTGGGAAACCCAATGATAATGTCAACTCGCATATTGCTCTGTTAAGAAATGTATAGCATTATTTTAAAGGAAACACCTTCCAATTTCAAACGCTCCTCTTTTTCAGAGCTACATAAAGCATTTAATTCCCTTCTAAATTACGTTACACCGTCATTAGGGGTCAAGGGAAATCTCTAACGCTGGTTCTTGTAAAAACTTGGGGATTTTTGCATTGAAAATAAGGTCCAATGATGAGGATCCACAAACCAAAACACGTTGTATCCAGCTTTTTTCTTTCTGGTTTGCTTCTCTGTTTAAGATGTGCTGAATCTTGAGTTCCAGAAGGGCTTTTCAATTAGGATAAACCCTAACTCAATGATTAGATGGAAACTGCACAAGTCAATTGAAGGAGGTTTAAATTAATCAAAAACCCCCTAATTATAATTACTTTGCCGTTAATTTAGGTGATTAGTGGATTGAAGGGCAAGTTTCCTTGTGTTTATGATGGAATGGAGTGGGATTGCACATAAGTTGACGTGTACTAATTTCACATGGGGGTTTATTTATATAGCTCTGTTCCCAATGACTATTATCTTCTTCTCTTACTTCATTAATTCGTGTGAGATCTGTGTTTTTGAGTTTTTATAATTGGTGTTGATGGCTATCATCCAACAGGATAAATCTGAAGCAATCTTGGAGAATGTTTGGGCGAATTTTATTGGTGAGAATGGATTGGATGGACATGGAGGAGGAACGAGAGGTGGTTCTGGATTAAACAAATCTTGGACAGAGCTACCGAGTCTTTGTTGTGGAGATGGATCCATGGAGGTTCTTGAAAGGCTACCAAGTCTTGGAAGATGGATATCCATGGGAGCTGACGCATGGGAGGAGCTTCTTCATGGGATTGTCCCTGCTTCCAATACACACCAATCTTTTCATGACAATTTGGAGAGCTCCCCAGTTCATCATTCTGGTTTTGTTGTTGATAGTACACGAGTGGAGACAGCGGTCGTGACGAAACACTACCGCGGTGTGAGGAGACGACCGTGGGGGAAATATGCAGCGGAAATTCGAGATTCGTCGCGAAAAGGTGCTCGGGTTTGGCTTGGGACTTTCAATACAGCTGAGGAAGCTGCATTGGCTTATGACAAAGCTGCACTGAGGATTAGAGGTCCAAAGGCACATCTCAATTTCCCGGTTGACACTGTTGTTAAAGCTATGGGAATGCATTCGTCAACAAATATTGATCATTTGGATAATCTCATGCCTTCTTTTCAAGAACATGACTCTGCTTCTTACTCGCAATTAGGCAGCAACGGAAGTTCGTCGATCATCGGCAAACGAACGACAAGGGAACGGGAAGATAATCTCAATTTCAACGACATGGAATTCGAGCATCCAAGGGTGAAGAGAAAGACCAACATGTTCTACAATGATTTCGACGTGTTCGAGTTTCAAGACTTGGGGAGTGATTACTTGGACAACTTGATGTCTTCTTTATGATATCGCCTTGTCTAAGATCCATCTAGTTTGATTGGTAACGGCAAGGTTTTTGTCACTAAGTAGACCAGCAGAAAGGGGGAAAAATCCCAAGAACATATTTCAATTTGTGATCCATTATTGTTTATGATTACCATCATTAATTTTAATCTTCCTAAACCAAAACATCATAAGTTCCAATCAAATTTGTGTTCTTTTGTTCTACTTTCCAAACCGTAATTAACAATCAAAACTTAAAATATACACATTAAAAGCAGCAGCAGCAACAACAACAACAAACAATCGACGGTAATTAGCAAGTAAAATAACGAACTTTTAGCCAATTTCTATTCAGCAGCTCTTCTAAATGATTCTGATCTTGAAGTCGCAATTGAAACGGTGCTCGAGCTACTACCACTGGGCGGAGGTGTCGTCGTCGTCGTCGTCTCCGCTGCCGCCGCTGCAACGACCTCCGGCGGGAAATTGAGAAGCGCTTTGGGGCCTCTCATATTGAAAGCGGCTCTATCATAAGCCAAAGCAGCCTCCTCAGCGGTAGCGAAGGTGCCAAGCCAGACGCGCACGCCTTGCCGCGTGGAGTCACGTATCTCGGCTGCGTACTTTCCCCAGGGACGTCGGCGGACCCCCCTGTAGTGCTTCTTGGCAATGCCTCCGGCAGCGGAATTGTGATGGCGAGCGGCGGCGTTGGTGTTGGGCTGGTCGGCGGAGGGAAGGGTAGTAGAGTTATGGGAAGACATGGGTTGGTTCAGAACTTGGTAAATGACCATATCTTGAGAATCGTTCTCATTAAAAGGCAAATCGGAATGGGGAGCCAAAACCATGGCTGAGGTGAAAAGGTGTAGATGTTTTGGAGGCGAATTTGAAAGAGGGGATTTCGGTGGCTAAGGACCAAACCCAGTTGGTTCGGTTCCCTATTTTATTTCTCTTGCCAATAACTCGAAGCTCCCTCGAAAATGCCTTTCCAACTTGACTGCTTTTTGTACATTTGGGTTGGTGGCTCACTTCCTTTTTTGCCCTTACTTTCTCTAACAAAAATCTTAAATCTTTTTTTTAAATATTAGGATCACTAAATCAAAATAATTCCCCTAAATTAAATGCTACTATCACATAAGTGAATAATTTTATTTCGGGGTCCAATAAAATTAAATAAAATGTATGCTTTTCCCTCGGGAAAAAGAAAGGGGCAATTTCGGAAATTAACATGTCACAGATGGAGAATGTTTATTGACTTTGACGACCAAAACGCGAAGAGAGGCAAGCGGACACGCCTCTTGTGCGATTACGTCTGTCTGAATTTAAATTTATTATTAATTATTTAATACTTTTGTTGCGATTTATGTAACCTGTCTCTTTTATATATCTTCCAATATATAAAACCAATTAAAAAAAATTTAAAAAGGATTATATTGAATTATTTCCGTAAAATTTTATATAAAAATTTCGAAATTAGCTGTAGATTTTAATTAATGATTGGATTAATATTTGATCTTCCCCCACCACCTTTGACTTTTCAACCATTAGATCAATTCTTTGGTGTCAAGAATTAAAAATTAAAAGAAACTAAATCAACCACACGAGGAAGAGTCCTAAACCCTTTTGAACAACGAAAATATGGATTCTCTCCCAAGACCAGTAATTCATTCACGTGCTTTGACCAAATTAAACCTCATCAATTTCCTAATCTTCACCATTCATTTTGTTCCTCGTAAAATAAACTAGCTTCGTATAAGAGATAATGAAAAAAAAAAAAATTGTAAATTTGGACCATGAATGTGGTCGTAGAAAAGTTTTTTTTGTCAGACTCGAGAAGTTTCAATATAGACTCTTCAAATGAAAAAAAAAAAAAATTGTAAATTTGGACCATGAATGTGGTCGTAGAAAAGTTTTTTTTGTCAGACTCGAGAAGTTTCAATATAGACTCTTCAAATGAAAAAAAAAAAAAATTGTAAATTTGGACCATGAATGTGGTCGTAGAAAAGTTTTTTTTGTCAGACTCGAGAAGTTTCAATATAGACTCTTCAAATGAAAAAAAAAAAAAAAAAAAACATGATTTTTCATAATGTTGGTATTTGTCTTGGAAGACATTGGCAATATAAACAAATATTTTACAAAAATAACAAAAGTGTCCAAGTGTGAGAATTCATTATTTTGATGTTTTTAATGAAAAGAGGTTATCATTTAAAAAAAAAGTGATTATCATATTATATTAATTATTGAATTATTGATATGGAGAGTTACAAGTTTGTTTAGTTGTTATGTAGCTTAAATCAAAAAAACTTAAGTCATTGGCTTCGTGACTATAGGATGGTATAATACAAATTGTTTCACTACATATAAGATCGGGCATGGCTCATCCTCCTAAACTCGAATCAATCTTGAAGCGCACGAACCCTCTATACTAAAATCATTGAAGAATAAGTACTCCCTTCTTCTTTCGATTAGGTATCGAAACAGAGTTTGGATAATACTAGGAGAACTCGACGTGTCAGCTACTGACATTGAGAAGAAAATAGTAGAGTATCCAAGCTCTCTCGAAAATGTATCTTGCACCGTCTTTTATTAACCTTCATGTTTAGGGTTTATGCAAACTTTGTGTAGCCAATCATAACCAAAAAGCCTCTTAAATGAGTGATTTTAGTAAAGATATGTCAATTAGGTGGTATAACTCAGGAAAAAAGAACCACTAAATGAAACAAATCTATAAATAGCCATTATACGACAACTTCCAATTTTCAAAATTTGTAAGAATAATTGAGGTAACACAAAAGTTGTACCAGGTTTTGGGCTGAATCCAAAGCTGATTGGGTGTGTGTGTGTATGGTTGCGTTAGGAAGAACACTACACATGGGCCTTGTCCGAGCTGCTAAAGCTAAAGCTAAAGCTGAAGCCCAGAAAGATGAACTCCACCTACTTCTAACACCCAATTTTCCCATTCCCATCTATTATCATCAGCTCCTCTGCTGGTTCCCTTTTACTCCATCTACTTTGAGCTTTCTGATGTTGATGTTCTTCATTTCATTTGGCTAATTAACCCTTCTCTCTTACATTTCCCACATAACCACCTCCACCCGACCTAACAACTTTCTTTCTCTTCCAAATTCCACCACCTATCTTCCACTTCAAGAAAAAGAAACCCAAATCATTTCGATTTGGATGAATTCCCTTTCAGTTTCAAGTGGGTGGAGTTTGTTTGTTTTGTTTGTTCAAGCCCCATCCTCTCACCCGCCCACCTTTTCCTCTCTGTTTAATTTGTCCCCTACCTTTTTGTACAATTGTATGTCGTTTAAAACCAACCCCCCCTCACTCTCTCGAGAGTATTCTACTCCATAATCAACTTCTGTCTGTTATTCACAGAACAAACACCTTAATTATGAGCACAGCCAGGTTCATCAAATGCGTTACTGTTGGGGACGGCGCCGTGGGCAAGACTTGTATGCTCATTTCTTACACCAGCAACACTTTTCCAACGGTACCCATTTCCAATTTCGCTATTTCCAATAAAGGGTTTCTTTCTTTTGGGATTTTCAATTCTTTCTTGTTTTGGTTCGTCTTGTGTAGGATTATGTTCCGACTGTTTTTGATAACTTCAGCGCCAATGTGGTGGTCGATGGCAGCACTGTCAATCTTGGCTTGTGGGACACCGCTGGTAATTCCAATCAACTCAACATTGTTCTTCTCTGTTTGTTTGGTTTTTAGAATTTTTGTTGGGAAATTCAGGACAGGAAGATTACAACAGACTCCGGCCTCTGAGTTACAGAGGAGCTGATGTTTTCTTGCTGGCGTTTTCTCTCATCAGCAAAGCCAGTTATGAGAACATCTTCAAGAAGGTAATTTAATTCTTTCTGATTCGATTCCCATGAAGTTTTAAACCACATTTATTATAACCTGAAGCTAATTCGTCTTGTTGCAGTGGATTCCTGAACTTAAACATTACGCTCCAAACGTCCCCATCATTCTGGTTGGAACTAAGCTTGGTAAGATGAGTATGAACTTGAACTCGGCGATGATCTAACACGAACTAAAATAACGAGATAAACAAACTGTAGATCTACGAGACGACAGGCAATACCTGATGGATCATCCAGGCGCATCTCCCATAACCACAGCTCAGGTAAAGAACCAAAACCATAAAAACAAAAACTTGATTGGATTATTCTAAAGGATTGATCCTCAGGGCGAGGAATTGAGGAAGATGATCGGGGCCGTAACATACATAGAATGCAGCTCCAAAACCCAGAAGGTACAGAATTGATCCATAAAAATGGAAGAAATGGAGTGGAGGTTGTTGAAAGTGGTTTGGTTTTTGTGTGCAGAATGTTAAGAATGTGTTTGATGCGGCTATCAAGGTAGCGTTGAGGCCTCCAAGACCGAAGAAGAAGGCTCGCAAGCAGAGGACCACATGTGCTTTGCTTTGAAAAATAAGCTCACCGCTCGATCACTTTCTCTGTATGCCTCAACCAAATACGGCTCGGGAAAAATTATTGGATGTGGTTCAATCCCTTTGTAGTAACCCTGTTCAATAATTTTTTCTTGCTCCATCCCTTTATATTATATATTTCCATGCTAAGAATTTCGGATGTAATCTCTCAAAAATCTAAACTTTATTTTGGTTCACTTCCATAATTTCTGTCAAGTTTAACATTAATACCTAATCTCGGAACTGCTCCAGTAACACAGTAAATTAACACCACAACTGCCGCAAACACCGCCGCAACCGTCACCCACCGCTGTCACGCCACGACGCTCATGGCGGCCCTAATCGGAATCACCAAAGACCATCTCAAAATACTCAAAACCACAAATTCCAGAAGAAATGGATAGGATTTGGGCTTATTAGTTAGAGAGAAGCCCATAATAAAATTGGGTTGGGCCTCAAACGGTAGCCCAGTTACACAATAGTATTTAAAAATAATTATATTATCATCTTTACTATATTTCTTATTTTAAATTTTCATTAATAATCCCAATACAACAACAAGCATTCTTTCATGCATGTAGCTTGTTTTTTTTTCCTCTTCTTCTTGGAATTAATCATTAATTTAATGGGTTTTTTTTTCTTTTAAAAAAAGGCAAATGTAATTAAGACGTATTTATAGAAAATCGTTACCCTTTAATTTCCCAAGGTGATGCCTCCTTGATTCGCGCGGATATATATGGTAGCAATTGGATATAATTTTGAGTTTTTTTATAAATATTATATTATAATATAAAAAGTCTACGGGAGGTAGGTGATAATTAATTAACGTACACTTTTGTTTATTGTAATATAATTATGTTTTTCTAATTCATACAATATAATAAAATACAAATATTTTTATTTCTTAGCATTTTTTTTTTTTTTTTTTTTTTTTAGTACTAATTGGTAATNTTTTTTTTTTTTTTTTTTTTTTGTTAGTACTAATTGGTAATGCATTAAGAACATGCTTGTTTTTAATTTTAGAGAATAAAAAAGTTTGATGGATATATAGTTAGGATATAGTTAGAGAGGGTTGAAAATCGTATAATTTGTCGTGGAACTAACCATAGCTACTCTAATGGGCTTCTACTTTAAATTGGAGATTAGGGTCGAGATTCGAACTTCCAACGCTTGAAAATAGATTATATTGAACTTACAAAATCATTAATAGTCCCATAACGTCTACGAGATGGCCTAGTGATAAGAAAAAGTCACGTAAATAATAAATGCCATATTGCAAATAGATTTAAGTAACGATCACTACCTACCAAAAACTTTGATATCCTACCCGATATACTGACACTCAAATGTAGTAAGATTAGATAGTAATTCCGTGAAAATAACTAAGGTATGTGCAAGTTAGTCAAGCACCTACGAATATCCAAAAAATCATCGAATAGCGTCTAGATTTTGCTTATAGTTGTCTTAATTATTAGGTTATACGATAAAAAAATGTGAATTAATGAAATGGGTATGTAAGATTTCACATCGGTTAGAAAAACATTAATAGAAGCGTTTTAAAATATGAGGGGAAGCCCTTTAAGGAAAAGTGTAAAGAGAACAATATACACTAAAGTGTGTCAGTCACCAAATGGTATTCCCGTGAGGATACTAGGTTTCTAAGGAGTGTGAATGATAAAATATCATATGGATTAAAGAGGAGAACGAAACAATATTTATAAGGGTGTGTGGGTATCTCCTTATAAACAAAAAAAAGTGTTAGGGGGTGTAGAGGTGTTCTCACGTAATGGTGGTTTGGGTTGGGTCCCAAAAGTTTCAGTGCCAGTAGAAGATGGAGAAGATTAATTAGGGTATTATATTTATATACGTAATGGAGGTTTGGGAGGGCGCATGAGGAAGAGCAAGAAGAAGAGCATGGGGAGTGAAGAAAAAGCAATTAATCAAAGCATGTTATGTGTATTTAGTGCATGCACGTTAGCATTTACTGGCTTCCTTCTGTTTGCCGCAAATTCAGCTTAGCCACACCACACCACACCACACCACACTCCCCTTTTCCTTAATAATCAAAAATTTGGTTGCAAACCCAGAGGAAATTGGAGGTGAAGTAATTGATGGTGGGGCTGAAGGGTTTCCATATAAGAAGCAAGCAAACGAAAGGGAAGAGTTGAGAAGGGAGGATGAAAGAAGGAAGGAAAAAGGCAAACAACATAACGTGTAGAAATGGGGCTAATAAAGGAAGGGGAAGGGGAAGGGGAAGGGAAAGGGAATGGGAGGCTTTGTACGATTGAGACATTCAATGAAAAACTGGAAAACCCAAACCATTAGTACCCAATTTAAGTCCACTTCCACTTCCTAAAATTGTTTTGTCCTTAGTTTCTGCTAACTTTACTCTCTCTCTCCCCCAAACATACACACTCATCACAACAACGCCATAAAAGTCACGAGGGCTTATTCCAAAAAACGCGAACGTTAGAAGTCGAACAGATAAACGGGGCCTCTAATAATGAAATAAATTAAACGGAGAGGAGGGGATCTTAAGCAAATGGAGAGATTCTTTGTTTTGACACCACATTTGGTATTATGAACACAGAATATAGGCACCCCCAGGGCCCCCCTCAGCTCCTCTCATTGCCCTACTACTACTACTTCTCACTCTCAATAAACCATATCTATCTCCACAATACATCGACATTTTTTCAAATTCAAAAAGAAAAAAAAAAAATCAAATAATTATCAAACGAGAGTGTTGGTCGTCATAGTTCATCAGATAAGATCAATGGGAGGGAGATGGGTGGCACCGGATGATGAGGTTAGCATGTCGGAATTGCAGCGACACCAATTCATTTCCACCTCCTTTTTGCATGGGAAGTTGAAACAGAAATGGATTCAAACACATGTGGAGATTAGGGTTTTGAGACACGAATGGTTTTAATCTCGTCATCTTCCCCCACAAATTCGAAACTTTGTTTTTGTTTTCACATCATAATATATCATTTGTTTTCTTCTTTTTTTCCTTCTAATTTAAGTCATATATAAACTCCCATGATGTTGCATTAAATTGTTTCATGTAATAGTAATAAGAATAATGTATAAAATTGGATGGTAGCATGGAAGTAGGGGTATGTTATACTAATAAGCATGCCCATAGCCCATAACCTTCTTTCTCTTTCTTTCTCTGTGTGTATTACCTCTGCAAACTGCCACTCCGCCACTGTGTGTGTTGCGTGCAAGCTTTGGTAGTGAAAACTCTCTTTCACTTAATGGTACGATTTTCACTACGCCTACTCCCTCATCATCCTATGCCAACAATCTTATGAAACCAAACTACATCTCATTTATTTGTTTATTTTTCTAAAAAAGGTAAGTGAAGAGATAGTTAATTAAAAACATAAAAAAGAGAAGAATAAATAATAATCCCTCGAGTCAATCCAACACTCGCCTTACCCACAAACACCATTATGCTCATCTTCCAATCAAAAGCAAACCTTCAATTCATATTCCTTGACTTTGAAAAAGCCCTTCTCTTGTTCTTCTCACCCCTTATTTATGTTTTGCAACAACCTTTTGGATTACAATAATCCCAGCACTTAATTTCTTTACCCTCTCCCCTATTTAATACCCTTCAATTGAAAAATAGATAATATAGAAACTCATCAGAACAACCCACTTCTATAAAGCTGTGTGTTACGAAGCTTTGGTTTTAACACCCCTTCTCTCTCTGTCACCCTCTGAGAAAGATTCTAATTTAGCCCCCAACATCCATTTTTTCCCCTGTTCCATTTGCTTCTTATCCTCAGCAACTTTTTTTTTTTTTTTTTTTAATAATTAAAAATTCAGCAAAAAAGGGTTTCAGTTTGTAATAATGAAAAAAGCTCCAAGTACTTTTGCTCCTCTTTTGACCTAAACCCTTCTTTTGATTCATCCACTTGTGTTTTAAACCCTCTAACAGGCGATTCCTGTTGTGGGGTTTTAAAAAAATTATATCTTTCATCTCTGTTGTCAAATTAAATGTTGGCTTAGGGAGATGGGACTTCTTTTTTTTCTTTTTTAATTAAAAAAAAAAAAAAAAAAAAGGGGTAGTTGAGTAGGCTATAAAGTTGAGATGGTGCATCTAGGTTGACGAGGGTGTTCAGAGTTGAGTATCATAGGCAACCAAAAAGCCTTTCTTTTTGTTTGTTTGTTTGTTTGATTGATTCTGGTGTTTGCGTTATTATTCCTTTATCCTCATGGCTTCCTCAAACAGACACTGGCCTAGCATGTTCAAGTCCAAACCCTGCAATTCTCACCACCAATGGCAGCATGACATCAACCCAAATCTCTCTTCTTCAACTGCCACTTGCCTCAGATCTGCTCCTTATGCTACAGGTTCTTCTTCTTGTTCCCTTAGTGTTCTATTTGTTCATATGTTTTAGAATTTGATTGATTTGTGTGTGTTTTTTTGTCCTCAGTTGGTGGGTGTGAAGAGAGGAGTCCAGAGCCANAACCAAGATGGAATCCAAAACCAGAACAAATTCGGATTCTTGAAGCAATTTTCAATTCCGGGATGGTGAATCCACCAAGAGATGAAATTAGAAAAATTAGAGCTCAATTGCAGGAATATGGACAAGTGGGTGATGCTAATGTTTTTTATTGGTTTCAAAACAGAAAGTCAAGAAGCAAAAGCAAACTCCGCCATATCCAAAACTCCAAATCCAATAATAATCACAATTCCCAAACCACCACTACTCCTTTACCATCTCCTATTCCTCCCATCGCCACTGCCACCATCACCGCCGCCGCCGCCGCCACAACTTGTTCTTCCTCTTCTTCTTCCGACAAGTCTTCTCCAATATCAGCACCCATCAAAACTTTTAGCTCCAATTCAATGACCCAGAACTACCTTCCACAACTCACCAAGGAGCTCTTGCCTGAACCCTTTTTCTTCCCGGTTTCACAGACCGGCGGCGGCGGCGGCGGTGGAAGCTCTAATTTGAGTCAAGGGTTTTGCTTGTCGGAGCTTTGTAGTGTAGTGCAGCAAGTGCCTGAAGATGGGGTTGTTGGGCCTTGCACAAGCCTGTTGCTGAGTGAGATTATGAACCCAACTGAGGCTTCAAAAAAAGATTTGGATGAGGACAAGATCACGGTGAAGTTGCCGCCTCCGTTCATGAATTATCATCCTGTTTTCACTCCCTCCACTGATAATATTCTTCCACCAACCACTATGTCCACCGCCCTCACCACTCTTCCATCTCCTTCCCATACAATTCATCAAGGTAAAGTTATTAAATTAACCAGTTTTAAGCCAATTGAGGTTGCATGACTTTTGGGTAACTCTCCTTTTTGGTTTATCTCTTAAAAGGAAGGATTTTGTGAAGTGGGTTGAAACGTATAGCAAAAAGGGGTTTCAAAAAGTAAATAAAAATGAAAACTTGATTGAAATTTATGATATATGAACAAATAGGGTTATGATGAGTGTAGTGTTGGATGGACGTGTGCATGGCTTTGAGGCACCCTTGACCTACACTAAAAAAATATTTCTTTTTTAAAAAAGAAGAGGAGTGATCGTGTGTTTGCAGGTGTCGGCGAAGTTTATGGATTAGGTCAAAGCTGTGTAGGGATGTCAACAGTGTTCATCAATGGTGTGGCGTTCGAGGTGGGTTCTGGTGCGTTCAATGTTCGGGAGGCCTTTGGTGATGAAGCTGTTCTGATTCACTCCTCTGGTCAGCCTGTTATCACTAATGAATGGGGCCTCACTCTCCACTCACTCCAACATGGCGCCTCTTATTATCTTGTTAGTTCATCATCATATGCCTCTCTTGGCTTTCTTCTTTACCTTCTTGTTTTGATATTGTGTTCGTATTTGCAGATATAAAGAAGATTTGAAAGTGGAGGAGGAACCACCAGGGAATGGAAGAACGTAGCAGTGGTCTATGATTAGCTTAGGGTTTGAATTTGAGTGCTTGTGAGAGCTCTTACTATATCTATGAGGCAATGTAATTTGAATATTTGGTTTCAACGGACCTCTTATTATATCTATGTGTTGTTTCATGAGAAATGAAGAGAGCCAAATTTGATGATATCATTAATCTTAAACTCCGCCAGCTTTTTAGGGTTGTTTTGCTTCTTTTTAGCTTTGCAGTTTGGGTTTCAAATCAAACATAAACCTGCCCAATTTCTGTTCAAATTGCCAACTTTGATTGTGGTCAAAACAAATGGCTTTTGTACTTCCCTTACTTTTTTGCTTCACCTCTTCTTAAACTTTCAACCACTATCTTCTGTTAGTAACTGCTGTAATTACTGAGCCTTTTCTATCAAATTCATAACTTTTTTTTCTTTTTCTTTCCAGTTCTCAGTTTTAAATTCATAGGCTTTCTTGCTTGTTTACCCCAAAGGATATTCTTGTATCCACCTACCATCAATAGCCAGTGTATGAGCTACTTTGTTGGCAATGTCTTGGATCAAAATGGATGTCTCTAACAAGCTCTCTCTTGCTAATGAAACAGTGTAACGAGATCGAACACTATAAAATACAGATCACTTTAAGCATCTACTAAGGTCAAGTTTTTCCCTTGCCTATTTTGATCTTCAATCTTCAATTTCATTCATTTATACATTACCCTTAGATAAGTGTTATTAAAATTGATATAAACTTGAAACTAAAATAATGATCCACTCGAACATAGTTCAAATCAAACTTACTATAAGCATGCAGAGGAATAGAAAAGTTCATCTCATTCAATTATTATACACGAATGTTTATAAGCTACTAACAAATCTTCAAGTTTAGATTATATTTTAGGTTTTTCAAATCCGAAGATAAAAAATGAAATAGTATTTTAAAATAAAGGTGAATTGCTTTGAAGAAAGTTGGAAGTCCAAATAACATGTGTGAATTTGCACATGATACCCAAAGATGTATTGCGGTAGAAGAGAAAAGAGAAGAGATATGAGGGAATATGTAGAATGGATATGAGGGCTTAGGGATTGAGTTGAAAAGAAAAGAGAGGGAATGAAGATAGGGGCAGAGAATCAGACGAAGTGTCTTGAAAGGGAAAGGAATTGATGTTTCGAAGAAATGGGAGAAGAAGAAAAGATTTGAAGGAGAAGGAGAAGAAGAAGAAGAATAAAAAGAAAAAAGAACAGTGTTTTTGTCTGGTGCTGATTTGAACCAACAGTTGGACGACACATATTACCCACAGGGTTTCATTTCGAACATTTGTTACGTGCACACACCTTCCAACAGTGAGATTGGATATTTGACTGACTGATTTTGATATAACGCAAACCCCCTCTCTCTCTCTCCCTCTCTTCTTTTTTATACCTTTTAGGAATGAACCCATCGCCTTTGAGCATCATCATTATGATGCCCCGTACCATATCCCTCTTCTCCACCAGCTGCACCTCAATACTATACTGCTGCAGCGAGTCTGCAACCTTCTGGGCTTTGTGTGACTAGAAAAAAACAAAGAAAAAAGGGAACTTTTTGGTGGGTTGGGTTTGGTTTGGTTTAGGAGTGTGAAAAAAGGGGTTGGAAGAGTAGAGAGAGAGGTCATCCAGATGAAATGAGTATTATTTGGATTTGGGATTTGGATTTTGGCAGTAGAACAGTCGTGTTGATTGGATTGTTCTTCCATATTCTGCCACATTTTGCTGCAACTTTGGACCCCTTTCCTTTCTCTTTGCTTTGTCGTCTTCCCTCTTATCTCTTCGATTCTGTTTCTGTTTCTGCCTTTCTTCATAACTTCAAATTTTGTACAGATATGATGTGAATTATGATCTTTTAGTTGGACCCACAGTGTTTTTTTGACTATTTCTCTCACTCCCATAACTTTTCTGCTTCCATTTCTAATATAATCATCCCATATTTTTAGAATCTTTCTTTCTTTTCTTGGGATGTTACACTCAAGTGGTGATGTTACACTCAAGTGATACCACTGTGGAACGATGCATGCATAGTTATATCAATACACTGTAACTGTAACCATAATTTAGAGTCGTAATAAAACCGGTAAATGTCAAATTAGCTACTTATCGAGTAAATGTTGTGTTTACTTGTCATGTACGAGAATGTTATGTTTTATGGTTGGTTTTCGAAGCAAATTATCCGTGTCAATAGTAACTCCAGTGATTCGAGCCATTGATGAGCAGGTGTTACAAGTGATAACTAAAGAAATATCCAGCTAATATCCTATGCCCCTGACAGCACCAAGGAGAGATTTGAAAACGAAAAAAATCAAGTGATTGAACCTCTACCTCTACTGGCTCAAGGTTCGCTTAATGCTACCAAGTGTAGCTAAAGTTGAGGTGAAACTAGAAAACTACATAACCAAGTGAGTGAATGAATGAACCGACTACTTACTTCCCTATTATCCCATCTCAAACCAGTAAATTGAAACCTTTTAAATTTCAAAGGCTAAAAATCTATCATTTGCCACCGGTTGGCATCCCAGGTAGCTACGCTCTGAGTGAGCCTATGTTGCTTGCTAATGAAGATTACCAACAACTGTGTAATTGCACTACTGTGATGATGCGCATTCACAACAAGGCAGGCCTTCGTCACCTTCCGTGTGCAACAATCGAAGTTGCTGCTGATTTTGCTGAACAGGAGAACAACTCCATTTTAGAAACCTTAGCTATTGAGGTCTTTAAGTTCTTAGTCAGTTGTATCAAGTCCTGAGTAGAAAAACTTGAGATTGAAATGATGCCCAGCAGCCTTGCCTAAGAAAACAAACGATTCACTTGGATGTCGTGAAGTATAAACCTCTGATACGTCGTCTAATAGGTTGTTAACTCAGACAACAAGTGACAATATAGCATAAATTTTACACTCGCTATGAAACCGTGCATGAAAAAGGTCAACTTTACAAAATGGTAATATCAAAACTAAGAGAAACGGAAGCAGAATGAACAATATTTGCAGAAAGGGTGATTTCTCCATCCAGTACCAACTCTTTCTGAAGAGTAACAACGTCTGGACTCCCAGCACGGTCCACCACAGCAGTGGCAGTGTGCGAAGATGGTTTATTCTTCTGGAAGGCACAATGAAAGCAATTATTCATAGTGCTCCAACTCCAATCAACAAAGTTATTCCTTGAGTTCTTCAATGAATGTGCATCAAAATCAGATGACAATTAAGCAGCAATATTCATCAAAGTCCATGAATTTCGGTGCATGAAACACGATATCCAGAAGTGGCTAATTTCACAGGAAATTAAAGGCGGGAGCTACCATTAAACAAAACAGCTTCTAGAGATTTTCTAAATTCATGGATTGTACTGATCACCAAATAAATTAAGTCAGATGCATTCTCAGAGAGACCTAATAAAAATCTCATCTCACAGGACTTATTGCGAGCTGTCTTTTTTTCATAAGAAACCAGCTTCATTGATAAATTTCAAAAGAAATATACAGAAATACAAAAGCACAAAAAAGCCTATAAAATCCATGAAGCTATAAAAGTTTCTCTAATTAGTTATGATCAAAGATATAGGAAGCCACAAAAATATCAAAGTCTCAAACATCTCCCCTAGAAGACTTCATACCACACTTTTGGAAATTCTTTTGCTACTTTCTACTCAGACTCCCCAACTGAATGAAACGACGACCACTTATCCAGAGAACCTTCCTCTTGTCCTTAAACTTCTTGCCATTCCACATTTGGGGAGAAAAGAAATCTATTTGGTAAGTTACTTGGCCGAACATAGCAAAGGTCCAAAAGGTCAAAAAGAAATTCTCATCACAACATCTAGTGTCTGAATAAATGGCAGGCACGTTCCACATTCTGCCTACACAAAACACTCCAGTTGGTAAGGTATAAAGGGAATAGTTACTTATTTGAACAACCTCATTTGTATTGATCTGCCGGAAATAAACTGACAGAGAAATTATAAAGGAAAGAATTCCTCATATCGTGTTATGACTGTTTATAAATGTATCCTCAACTCGATGAAGAAACATGGCTTTGGCTATAAGTTGAGAAGATTCTGTAAATATAGTGATGGAAACTACTCATACAGAAATTTCCATTCACAGGAAAGCACCCACTAGTTACCAATCATGCTTCAGCACCAGACCTCCTTCACAATCAAACCTTATACCAATTGGCGTTGCAAGAGTACGTGAAACTGTTAAACTGATCATGATGCCTAATGTTTAATATCAAAAGAAACCATTTCCAGGATCTCGGAGCATGAATGAGAAAACCCGTTCTCACTCACAAGCTCCAAAAGTCGTTCTTAGCAATCAAATGACATCGATAAAGGATTATTAGAAAACCCATCATCAAGAATTCGTTAAAGGCGTTAATGCGAATGAAAGACAACACTCACCTAAATCCAAAGGCAAAAGGTCAAGGACGAGCTTCACGTGCAGTATTGGAAGCGGAGGAGGCAGGCGAATTCGAATCGTCCTGGCGAGAGGGCAGAGGATTGGAACCCTTAATAACCCAACCAAGAGCGAAGAAGGAGATCCCAGCAAGTATAGCAGTCCCCCAAGCGTGTGAGTACCATTTACTGTACTGTCTAATGGCAAACCTCCATTGATCTCGAAGCGTAGCAGGGTCGGGATTGTGGATCTCCGGTGGGTTCGGAAACCGGACTCTTTGGCCTGTGGATTCGGCCTTGGGGCCAGCGCTACTGATTTCATTCATAGTTTTAGGTTGAGAAGAAGAAGGATTCCCAGATGGAGGGTTGGAGTCCGTCATGATGGCGCGCAGAAATTTCCCGGCAAAAAAACACTTCTCTATCCTCAGCTATCAATCCTTCAGCTTCAGCATCGACAAAATCGTCGAACTCGCTCCCCTTTTTCCGGCTTTCCCATGTACGGCCGGGTGGCGCTTAATTTACCGGACAAAATACCGAATTTAACCCTAAACTTAGAACTTTTTTTCATTTTTTGACAAATGAACTCTTGATTTCGTCCAAATGTATTTAAAATTTTAATTAGCTTCGCAATCTTAAGACTTTAAATAGCTATTGTAATTTTTATTTTCTAAGTCACAATATACTTTCATTTAAAAAATCTATATTTAATTCAAAATGAATGGAGCTTCAATGAAATTTGTTTATTCAATTCTTAATTTTGTGTATAATTCCAATTTAATTTTTTAAAATGCTCGAACTTTTGTTGAAATCAATGATTTTTGAGAGATCTGATTTTTTTTTTTCTTTTAAAAAAATTTAGGAGGAATTTAGGAAAAATTGAACCAAATAAAAATAACAATATAGGTCTAAGTTTAGAGCTATATTAAAATTTCAAAATTTCAGGATAAAAATTAACGACTTTAACCAATTCTAGGTAAAAAAAATATATATATATATATACTTTTTTTTTATCATTTTTGAAAACGGCATGATTAAATAGTTAAGTTTGTATTCAATATGTTACTAAACTTTGTAAAAAAAAAAAAAAAAAAAAAATAGTCATCAATTCATAGATCATTGACCAATAGGTTCGAGATTGAATTTTCCACCATTCAATCACTTTTTTTAATAGGAAGAAGAATAATGAGAAGGTAAAGAAATTCTCAGGCCACAAAAACGTCCGTTTCCCCCTAGTTGCGTGAAGAAGCAGAAGGTATTAAAAAGGTGCCTAGCAATGGATATCCCAACCACAAACACATAGACAAAAACACATTTATTCTTGACATGCACAGATATATTTGACCAGATCATATCAGCAGAGCATTCAAGACCAATATTTAAAGACGGAAAAATGTTCCAAAGTGATAAGGGTATAAAGGCATAGAGAATAAAGGTGAACCTAATATTGAAGTCACATCGAATGGAACTTCTTATACTGAGGAAGATATCACCAGAAGTATTCGTGGATAAATGAAAAATGACATAGTATTACGGTCACTTCTGTGCCAAAGAGGAAAATAATACTTGGTTGCACGGTCACAGACATCGAACAACAATATCAGTCTATGCAAACTAGAAAGTAAAGTTGTAGATATTACATATTGCTCCTCCCAGTGAGAAGAGCTCGAATGGTTCCTGGAGCTCATTTGCGAGCTTCTGCTTTCTTCTGTTCTTTGGCTGAAAGTGAGGGAGAGTGTCAGTTTCAATAAGTCAGGCTTACGGGGAAATATAACTATACAAACTACGGTGTTTTGTTGAATATATTACCAGCCTTTTCTTCTTCTCTCTTTTTAGCAGCTTCTGCCCTTTGTTGACGAATAAGAGTCAAACGTTCTGCATAGCATACAGTGAAATAAAATTTCAATATCAGACAGTGTAATCAATGTCCTGCCTTCAAATTTGTTCAGAACACTAGGCAGATAATAGTTGTTCCAGGACTTGGCATTGGCTCCCCATGATACTATCAAAGTACATTTTGAACTAAATTTATAAAATTTTAGAGATGCAGGGCACATAATAGTGAATATAATCGAAGTGTAGCTGCAGGAGATCATTTTGAGCATTCCTATATATTTTTCCCTTTTAACTCGGGGAAAGAATAACAAGAAAAGGAACATTATTATCTCGGATGACAGATCGAAAATAAAAAGGATTCTATCCTCAGAAAATAGAACACATACTTAAACCAAAGAACTGATCATTGAAGAAGACTTACCTAAATCCTTCTTAGCTTGTTCAGTTTTCCCTTGTTCTTGAAGCCTCATGTATCGCTCATGAGCCTTTTGTTTTTCTATCTCCTCTCTGGGAAAGCAAAGAAAACAAAATTTTATAAGTGATGTCCATACCTATAACATTGCCAGATTTGTTTCCAGAATAAGAATCATAGAAATTTAAGTACGTATAGATATTCTTTACAACAATGAAAATATACATGTAACAACCTTTCACGCCTTGAAAGTTCAGTTGTTTTCCCAATCTGCAAAATGAAGTGAAATTACACAACTACTGTATAATAATGTTCATACAAAACCATATGCCAAGATGATTATTAAACTTACATCAATATCTCTAGCTTTCAAGGTTTTTGGCTTTACCAAGTTAGGATTTTCAATCTCAATAATACCTTGAGTGCCTTTCCTCTGGCAGAATTTGACAACAAAATAAAAGTGATTTAGTCCCGCTAAGCTCAAATAAAAAACAGCAAAAGATATAGAAATTTAGGCTTGGAGATTAAGACAAAAAAAAAAAAAAAAAAAAAAAAAAAAAAAAAAAAAAAAAAAAAAAAAAAAAAAAAAAAAAAGTGACTGAATNCAAACTCTAGGCTGATCTCCCTGATCATCAGATTCATCCCCAGATTCTTGTTCAGATCCTTCCTCGTTTTCTTCCTCCTTGTGTTCAGCTTCTACCTACAATACTATATTGAATACCTCATGTGCACAAAAATGAGTAAAATAGTAAGAACAAGACCATGCAGTGGAGGAAGCAGCTGGGTTACTGAAGCAAAAATTGTAACACAACAGTGTATTATCCATCCTCAATTGGATGAAACAACTGCCGTATTATAGGACACATGCAGATCATATATTGGCTTAAAAGCCTCTATGGAGATTATATTGTTGGAAGATGAGAATGGTAGTGAGAACTTCGTGTGTGCGTGTCTTGAATCTTGAGAAACAGAGAGAGAGAGAGAACCTGTCTAAACGTGCGTGGACGAGAGGAGGTTCCAGCAACTACAATTAATGCAGAAACTGTAGTTAGCAATGCAAATTTAAGGCATCTTAATCCTTCTCAACAATGAACTCTATAGTTTTGATGTAGTCTTTCAACACGAAAACCTTAAGAACGGAAGATTCTAATCTCAAACGTGTTTACACAAAGCGTTGAAAACAAAATATGGGTTTTGCTTTAAAGGTTAATTCCTTGACGCCATCCATATCTCCCATATTTTACTAGTTTTAAGAAGTAATACAAAGCAAAAAGCGTTCAACTCTGCAGTAGAAGAAAATCGTGCAAGACTCTTCATTTAGATTACAATAGATTAAGACTCAACTTCTTTTAGAGAAAAAAAAAAGGCTATTTCCTCAATCAGCTAAGCCTAAATTTCACCCCCAAACCAAGCACCTCCTCATAGTCGCTGAAAATGATTTAAAAATAACTAAGTTGCATTGCATATAGAACAGCTGAAATCACTAATATATCCAGCATCATTCCAAATACTTGACTTTTTAAGTCACGCACCAGCTCATCCTGGAAAAAGAATAAATGGTTCCAAACGAATTTCTCAACTCAATTCTATAAAATCAAATTAGGGGCCGAGGAAGACGCACGCACTGAAAGAAAATATCTCATGATCTTGAGTTCCTCAATAATCAAACGAAGGGAGTGAAATATGATATAGAATTATTGCTTACGCATGTCTTCAGGGGTGGAGAATTGGCGCCGGCCGGTGGGCTTGCTCTTGTACTTTCCTCTTCCCATCGTCGACGAAAAGCAGAAGGCAGAAAGTGGAAATTGGAGGAAGAATCAGAAGAGAGTGAGAATGGACGTAGAAGCCCCCTCTGAGTTTATTCGTCGAAGAAGAAGTTGGTTCCCGCTCCGCCTCCCCGCCGAGAGAGGAAAATTTTTAGTTGTGTTGGCTTATTCGCTCCCGTCCCGTTTACACCTCTCTTTGGTGTAAATCGACCAACCGGATTCCCCAAACCCTACCCGACCCGCCACCCAAGAATCTCTTCTTTTTTTTTTTTTCATTAAAAATTTGCACTTCATATTTTACTTTATTAAAATTCCCTTTTTTTTTTTTCAGGTGTGTTTTTCTTTTAAATATTCTTTTTATTAGTTTAATAACGGAAATAAAGATACTCGAACCTGTGTCTCCAACCTGAGATAAAACAAAATATAGATTTGTACAACTAATTTGTTTTTAAAATAAAGATAAACATATTAATATATTCCTATATTTTAAAGTATTTTTTTAATTGTTCCCAAAATATAATTAAAATTTGTCTAACAAAAAGTCAAGCGATTTGTACTCCCAAATATGTTCCAAATGGAAGATGTCCTTGCTCGGCTGGGAGGCCAATCCCACCGACGAAGGAAGATGTCCTTCAATTCGTGTTGGTGTCCGACAAGAAGATTCTTCTTTGTGTTCGGATGTATGAGAATGACCTAATTTAGCTTACTTTGGTCGGAGACATGGATTTTCGGCAGTCTGTGGCAGATGCCGGTGAATTTGCGTTTGAGCACTTTGATTCTAGCAATGACCAAGCACCCAGATGAGGTAATTGTGATGGAGTTTGTTTATGTCAATGAACACCAATGCTTACTTCGGTGCTTTGGCAAACTCCGTATATGAGTCGTTACCTTGAGTATATAGGTAGTAATATTCGATATGCATCAAACATGATATTATGTATAATTTTACGAGCTTTGAATCCCCCCTCTAAAGGAATCGCCATCCTCCTTGATGCCGTGGTCCTATCAATAGCTACCCGAACAGCAGAGGAACTTTTGTATCAAAAAAAAAAAAATGAAAACATGCTTGTCTGTTTGCCTTGATGCATATTGCTTTGAGGAGACCCATACATATCCTTTATTTCACTGCTCCATTTCGAGGATCTTAAAGCATGCAGTAAGTGCAAGAGGTTTTCTTGCATAATAATAATGTCGAAGGTGTAAGAATTTCACTTGTACTTGATGATAATAATAACCCATTCACATGCCTTTTATACTCGAGTCATACAAATCTAATCCAGCAGCCAAGAACACCGTGTTTTAGCAGCAAATGAAGGTAACGAAAATGTTTTGTGAATGTTTCTTTAAAAAGGATGGTTGAACAAAGGTCACATTCATCTGAATATGCCGCCATAAACATCAAAAGGTCACCGTCTCAAGAATTAAATTCATGGCAGCAAACGCATTGACCCACAATAATGGAAGAACGCTTGCATCTAATGAAAGCATCATCTTAATGGAAACTAAAACAGAGTGAAGATCAGGAAGAGTATCACATAACTGTTACAAGATACTGCCTACCCTTGTTCTTCAACATATTCAACCCACTTTGCATTCAAAATATCAAAAAAATGGGACAATAGAGAGATTCAACAGGAAACAATTCGGTAAATCTACGTTTCAGATAATGGTTAACAAGGTAACCTTCGAGCAATCTGCATTTCAATGTCTTGAGAGAGGACTGAAAAGATTACTCAAGATGTGTAAGTTGACATTGACATCAAGTAGAATAAAAACTAGGATTATCCACGTACATAACGAAACAAAATGTAGGCGGATTACATTTTATCGAAATCCAGACGACCTAAACCATCAACGGAGTTTATAACACCAGCAAAAATAATATACATCACTGGTTAGTCTCTGCTGGGTTACAGCCACTAATGTCCTTCTAGAATATATCAATTGCAAATTGTAACCCAAAATATTAGGGAAACAACCAGCTTTACCGTTATCCAGAGGTTTGAAGCTCCATCCTGAAGGGTGCATCCGTTGCAGCTCCCATGAGATGAGCATCAGATAGTATACCATGAGAGAAGAAAGAAAAGGAAAAAAATTATTTAGGTTATTTGAGGCCAAAAAGAAGTACCGAATTCTGGAAGAATGAATCGTAAACTCAAACCCATCATGTTTAGATGGATATCATCAGGCATGCAACTCATTCAACAACTGAGCTTCTTAACTACGTAGGGTAATATTCGCTCAAATTCTCCACAAGGTAATCATATTGTGCATGAAGCATATAGTCATATGTTCCATTGGGTGGCATGACTCTATTTGCTGATGAGTAAACATTTCCAACACCAACTTTTGTGTTAATTTTGGTCCTCCCCTTCATAAAGCGTTTATTATCAGGAAACTCAGCAGCCAGTCTCCCCATTTGTCTCTGTAAATCGGCAACCGAATCATTTGTTACCTTTGCCTTGGAACTTTTTTTCCCATCAACGAGTTTCAACTCCAATCTATACAAAGCGCAGGCATCATACTTATTGATTTCATACTCATAAAGATGCCACTCAAAGTGGTTCAACGGCTGAGGATCCATGTAATAAGATCTTTTCAGCCCTCCAAACTCATTCATCACTTGCTTTCTTGACTCATGCCAACCACGTCCACTATAATCTGGCAATGACCTCTGCTTCCTATTCCCACTCTCAAATGCTCTACGAGGCTTGTCAAAGAAAAGCCACTCCCTAATCATCTCACCCTCCAATATTGACAGATCAAATAGCTCTGCAATATAATAAAGAGATGTTGACTAAATATAATTCAATGAAGCATATATCAAAGTTCAGTACAATCAATTTCAATAGAGTTATACATGCATTGCATGTCAATGCAATATACCAGCAGCAAAAACTTACCAGGAGCATTCCATGGGGATTTAGCCGTGGCAGCTCCCTCACATTCAGGGATACCAACATCTTTTCCTTGTGCCTTCGTACTAAGAGCAGCAAAAAGCAAACCATCCTTCAGACCAATGCCACCAGGTCGTAAAACTGGACCCATTCCAGGAGGGCCTTCATTCAATGCTAAGGCAGCATGAAAACTGCTGCAGTAATCCTCACACCAATCCAACCCTTGGGCAGGTCGTGGGCAATCCCAAAGCGCACATTTAGGGCCTAAGAAAGCAGCAGGAGGAGGACATATGCTGGGACAGTAGCTGGAAACATGAGGAATTTCACTCGCCCCACACAAACCTCTACCATTAAGGAATGAGTAAAAGTTGTGTTCACTGCCTTGATGTAAATCAAGCTGATGACACTCCAAATATGTGGCTCCTTCCAAGTTATTCATAGCCAAACCATGAACTCCTGAAGGGGAGTTCTTGCACTGATCAACTAGAGGGAAGCTTGGTTCTTGGTGTACACGGTTCACGTTAAATCCCTGAAGCAGGTTAAGAAGTGATACTAAGAACCTATAATAACAGGAATGAAAGGCAAGACAGATTTTCAAATTTATTAGACATTTTCTTCCACAATAAGCTCACAACGAACTAGAGTAAAAGCGAAGGAACCAACATCACCAACAAAATTCATATTCATACAACTCTTAGAGTTTAAACACATTGCAAGATGATAGTCCAGGTGATGAGGAAAGAGATCAAAAATCCCATGAAGGGCATGTATCAATAATTCCATGCTTGTATATCCTAATGTTTATCCATGTTAGGTCAGGCAAATATGGTGCTGGAAGAAAATTTTCTAATTTCACCAATTATCGTAGTTGACATGCATGGGGCGACCGCACAACAAGGGCAAGGACAGAAACTTTCAAAATTTTCTCAGTATCTTTTGCAAAAGCCAGAACCAAGACAAAAATAGCATTAAACATTTGAACCAATCGGTGCTCTCTTCTTTTTTTTGAATATACCCCATCACCTCCAATAATTATCAAGGGCCATAGTTATAAAGTAAAGAGGAAAAGATAAACTGAGGCAAAACATGAACTATGTAATATCAACAGTAAATAAACGTAAAAAAGTTCCCACCTCTTGAACTGCCATAGTATCTCCACCCTGCAGATTTTGTTCATTGGGTTCTGGTTTAGGAGCAGCTAATGGACTAGATGCATCATCATCCTCCTCGCAAAGTTGTAGCAATCGACAAATGTCCGATGAAAATGACCCAAGGCTTCCACCCTAAGTCAAACATGCGCTAAAAACATCATAATCCACTTAATTCAGTTATACTAGCTGCCGTCCTCAATGCCACATGCATAAATTATGCAGATTATCATATCAATTGACACTCTTCATCTTATGCACTTAAAATGAATTGAATATACAGTGCTAACTTGTTGCAAAGAGGATGCTGGAGAGGGCTCGTTCAGCTCTGCTTTCCACTCACGAAGCATCTGATGGACTTGTTCCTCGAGCACTGCCACATCAACATTGCGGCTCTCTTTCCTTGCATATTGCAAATCTACAAATATGCTTTGCAGATCATCGACCCGGTTCTTTGCCTTATCCTTAAAGAGCTTGTGGGAAGCCGACTTGCAACTGGTCTTCGAATGCTTCCCCATTGCAGAACTCTAAGTTTCTCTTAGTCCCTATGAGCCCAACCAAAGAAGTGCATGTTAGATAACAGGTGTGGAAAATTATCCACTAAATTTCAGCATAGAGACAGCAAAACAAACCAACAGAAATTCATTCAAGGTGAAGTAATAACTATAAATAAATCGATTTTAGACGAACCCATTGAGAAAAAAAAAAAAAAAAAAAAAAAAATATGTAACACAGACAGAATCCTTTTGAAGCNAAAAAAAAAAAAAAAAAAAAAAAAAAAAAAAAAAAAAAAAAAAAAAAAATTATGTAACACAGACAGAATCCTTTTGAAGCAAATTCGATTCAACTTGTACAAGCAGAGATCAGTTTCATAAATTATGGAAATCAATCAGATCCCACATGAGCACGAGCATCAAGGAACTAAATTTCAATCCTCCGCAGGACTAAACTAAACTAATGCGCAAAGGAGATAAAAAGAACTCAAATAAGCGGGAAAGAAAAAAAGAGAAAAATCCCATATCAGATCAAAACCAATAGAGGTCAGGTAAAATTACCGAGGAACTCGCAGCCGAATCGAAAGCCCTAGCTCTGAACAGGGCTTGAACCTCCCACAATAAGGAGCAAGAAAGTGCAAGGACACCTGATCGAAGAAGAGGGAAAAAAAACAGGAGAAATGTAAAGTGAAATATTCGCGATGAAGTGGGTGATCGAAAAGCAGATGCTCTTCTTCACTTCAACAGTTCAATGGCTTGGATGCCCCAATTTCAATTCAGTTTTCTTCTCTTTATTCCCTTTTATTTCTGATTTAGTAGGAGCGAGAAAGTAGAGAGAGACAGAGGCAGAGTTGCAGTTACACATGAATTTGGCTTTTGAGAGCTCTGTAAGCATTTCGTCTTCTTTCCCACCGCCTCATCAAAATAAATAAATAAAAATTCTCCTAAATGTATATTAATGACACTTTTTGACTATTTTTACTTTCCATAAAATTTAATTTTTAATATTATTTATTTACCAAAAAAAATATTAAAATTAATTTCTCAAATAAAACTGATGAGCATGCGTTTATTGGCTCTTGGAAATATTGCAAGCCAAGCTTTTCACGTGAAATCTAATTTATTACCAACTAAATTTTCTAAAATGTTTTAAGAAATAATTTAGTGTTCATGTTTTTAACAACAAAACATTTCTATATCATGTTATTTTCTCCCTCAAAACATTATTATAAAAAAAGCTAACATTTTTTTCAAGAAAAGAAAAATATGATGGGTTGAGATAAATAGAAGGAATAAAGGGTATTTCCACTAGCCATCTCGAAGATTCCCATGTTATCTCTTCAAGATAGTTGGCCCTTCCCAGTTTATTTATCATCCATACCCATTTTGGATGAACTCTAACATGTTAATCAAAATATACTAAACCAAACGAGTGGTGGGACGCACGAGTCTTGAAGTTGAATTCAACGGGCCCTAATCCAGAGTGGAGCTAACTGAGATTGGGTACCACATGCTTTTCTTGCTGTTACAAACAAACATAATCACCACTTTCTCAAGGAATATTTGCTAATGGACAAGAACAATTTCATGAATTCATCTACCTCACTACATGTCACAATAGTCAACAAAGAGTGGACGCTAAAAGAATTGTCTCACAAAAGTAATTGAAAAGGGATTGATGCTGATCATTCGATAATTAGCCACAAATCCCCTTTCCAAGACCAAAAAGAAACCACTTTTCTGTAAAGAAGAGTAGTAATATTGAAGCACTTCTAGCAAGAGAGAGTTGACAGAGATTAAAGGGAAGATGATGAACACTTTCATGGAAAGTTGGGTTAGCTTGTGAGGGAAGGGAAGAGTAGTATAGTCATAAATCATGTCATCAGATGATTAGGGCCATCATAGCTAAAATTCTTCATTTAGTACATACTCTTGCACAGTTTACACCCCATTAATGCGGGGTGAGAGAGAATTTAATTGGAATAATGATCATTTACAGTGTGCAAAATACTAATACCATAAGTGTCAAAAGAATTAGGAAAATGCACCTCCGTTTTTCAAGACCACGTTGATTAAATCATCACCTCATTTCTCGCTGGACAAACTAGCAACTTAATCAAGCAGGCTTTGCTAAATTTCCACTTTCAGAGGGAGTGTGTTTGAAGTTCAAAATACCACTGAGACCTCGTCCTCTGGCATGTTGTTCCAGTTCTACTAGTTTTTGCTGCAGAAGTTCCAATTCTGTTGATAAGCTTTCGTCTCTCTGCCTCAGTGCCTAAATGTAATAAACCACGTCAGAGAACTTAGTCTAAGTATATATCTTAACCAGTTAAACTAATATGTTTAAGTTAATGAAGATGGGTTTGGGGACGTGGGGTTGGATTGGCCAAGAAATTACACAATTGGATGTGAGAAGCAAGAAGTGGCGAGGAATATAGGAGTTGATTCGCTATGGGAATAAGTTCACTTTGTTGCAGACCCCTGATCCGTTATTCCAACAGTAATATTTCTTATGGTCGAAGGATTCATTTCTGTATCCATAAATCATAACCTTACCTCAGTTCAGCTCCATTCAAGTAGGTTACCAAGTATGTGAATTCAAACAACCATACTACTTAGAGCAAAATGTGATCTGTGAAGTTTTGTGCTCTTATGCCCCCGGAGAAAATAACTATACCATTACCTCCATTTCTTGTCTGCGTACTTCTTCTTTTCTGGCTTCTGATCTAGCACTTCTCTGAACCTCAAATATCACGATTGCTCCTGCAACCTATAAATTTCCAGAAACTAAAACGTAAAAGAAATAATCAATAAAATGAAGAGGTCAAAAATGTTTTCAAGCAGCCAAGCACAATAAGTCAAACTCCCAAATTTAAATAAAAGGCATTATAAGATCATTCATTCTTCAGCGATTCAAAGAGCTATTCATTTTAACAGTTATATTGTGAGATCTCACATCGGATGGAGAGAAGAACGAAACATTCCTTATAAGGGTGTGGAAACATCTTCCTAACAAACGCGTTTTAAAATCTTGAGGGGAAAACCCAAAGAGGACAATATCTGATAGCGGTGGGTTTGGGCCGTCAAAAAGAGTATCAAAGGCCTACACCAGGTGATGTGCCAGCGAGAACGTCGGGTCCCGTAGGGGGGTGGATTGTGAGATCCCACATTGATTGAAGAGGGGAACAATTGCCAACGAGGACGTTGGGCCCCAAAGTGGAGTGGATTTTGAGATCCCCCATCGGTGGGAGAGGGGGACATAGCATTTTTTTAAGGGTATGGAAACATCTCCCTAATAGATGCATTTTAAAAACCTTGAGGGGAAGTGATATGAACCAAAAAACATCAATCATACAATATACTTCAATGACGGTGTGAAGAAAAAGTTGTCAAAATTATCAAAAGATGTTTCAATGCATGCCACATTGAAGAAGAGTGAAGTTTGATTGCTATAAATTTTGGGTGGGTTACAATTTAGAGTTTTTAGGACTTTTTATTTACTTTAGGTTACAATTACATAATGGTTAATTATGACCATTAAATATGAATGTTACAATTCTTGGAATGCCTAGTAGTTTCATTTTGAGGCTATATAAAGCCATGTATGTTGTATGTGTAAGAGACTTGGAAAATGTAGTAAAAAAAGCATTTGTGCTCTTCTTTAGCCAATGACTAAGTTTCTTTGCAATTCTATGTAGTTTAGGTTGCATGTAGAATCATTCAAGCTCGACGTGATCAATCTTGCTTGTGGAGTGATTCGAATCTCAATCAAGCGTTCTTGTCTTGAGATATTTGATCAACAAGAATCATTCAAGCTAGACATGATCGATCTTGCTTGTGGAGTGATTCGAATCTCAAACAATGTTCTTGTCTTGAGATATTCGATCAACAAGGTAATCCGAATCTTACTCCCCTTGTAGTGGTTCCTTATCTTATCAGGAAGCCTGAATAGAAAAGCCCAAAAAGGATAATATCTACTAGCGAAGGATTTAGGTTGTTACATATATACACATTTTCTCTCGCATCTTTGTCCAAAGAGTTGTATTCGTGATAGGTCTCAGATTCCCAACTGGGGGTTTCCAGACCCCAAATACCTGAGCAGATTATCAAGGCATAATTTCATCGAAGGTAAAATGAACCCCAAAATAAAACCAACGCTTAGTTAATATTTTCTTATAGTCAGAAGTATGCACAATGGTTCACAAATGAGTTCCTTAGTTTCCAAAATACAATGCTAAATATCCGTGAAATATATAGTTGATCAATATTTTCTGTAACATGGTATATAGTATGTTTCAGTTTAGGAATGGTCTTAACCAAAAGAAAAGGATGCGATTCTACTTGAAAATAAATATTACCGAGAAAACAAAAACCTCGCCAATCAGGTCAACAGCAGCCTGAACTGCTTTCTCCTCATCCAGAGGGCGAATTTCTACATCAGTTGCATGACCATATATGCGTCTTTGCATTTGTGTTGACATCCGATGGTTAATCTGTCAGTTTAGCATCGAAGAAATGAGGTCTTGAGAATTATTCATAAAGTAAAGCTAGCAGTATACAAACGTGCATTCAAACATGAAGCACCCACTTTAATTCTGATACCTAAGGGTTTCCCTAAACAATCAATGCAAACTAACCCATTGAAGATCATACTTTCTAAAGCATCTATAATTGGAAAAACTAAATCTCATCGCTTATGTATGAATGAAGGTAAGACTCCATTGTCATAGCATGGCTGGCATTCCCTGCGACAGAAAAGTATTTGGAAGTATCCAATCAACTAAAGTGGATAATACTTCACAAATTTCATCCCCTTATACCTCTGGGGCTTAAGTGAATATCACTACTCTTGGAAAAATTTTAAACAAAAAAATGGAGAAAGAAAGAAAATCAAGTTTAGAAGAGGGGTATTTTGGCACCACGAGAGTCAGCTACACTTGTTGAAGCAGGACCACCAAAATTAGTTCGAATTAAAGAAAAAAAACTTTCCTCTAGCATCCTTTCCAGGAATTCCAACATAGGTGGAGAATGAATTGTTACAAGTTCCTTGCTTATTTTAAGGCCCTTTCTTGAGGAAAGACTTTTAGCTGATAGATTGGATTTGAGGCTCATCTCTATAACAGATACGGGCTCAAGAGATTGCTTGATGAAGAAGAGAATAGGAAGGCAATCTTTCAACTAAATTCTAATGAGTATCATTAGAATCGAGTTTACTTGCAAAAAAAAACTATTATATGGTCAAGAAGGTATCTCATAAGCTTAGCTAGCTAGCCCAAACACTAACCAAAAAAAAAAAAAAAAAGATACTAATGAGACGGCTAGTCGTGACAAGTATACAGTTGATCATTCTATAAGAGATGAAAGACTGCTAAAGCTAGCCCCTCGTACTTGTTCCATGATGTTCTTAGATAAGCAATATTAACTTTGGTATTGATGAAAATCATACATGATCTCATCCTTGGATCTATGACTATTTGTGTAAAATTGTCCGAGTGTTCTAGTCAATAGAATGATAACTAGTGACCATCTCCAGATAATGCTCAGAAATTTTAATACATGGCAATTGCTTTTAGCTGGATTTTGGTTATAATATAACATCGTTCTCTAAACTTTACCGGTTACAATTAAATGGGGTTAAGTTGAAGAGCTTCTTAATTTCATGTATGATGAGGGTTCATTGTCGTACGAAGCAATTTCGTTTGGAATGGGGCAAGTTCGAAGAACTTCTTAACCCAACAAGCACAACTACTTGAGAAGAAGGTAACGCAGAAAACAATGATCAAAACCAACCAATCAGAAGAAACGTTTGAAAGAAGACCATGAAAGGGACGCCGAATTATTTGCTGCAATAACAACAGCTCAACTCAACGAAACGTGATCTTGTATAAATCAGTACAAAATAATGAAGCACAACCAAAAAATCAAGAACCCATAAGCAGAAATCCAGAACGAAATTATAAATACCTGGGCGACATTGATGATAGACTGCCTAAATCTGGGGTGCAACGCAGCTTGCTTCTTGAGCCTATTACCGAGTGGCTTGCTCAGAGTTTTCAACACGAGCGTTCCAAGCTTCAGTACCGGGAGTACCATGACTACAACGAATAAATTCGGTAATCTGATTCGAAGGCTTCACTTTTGCTGTTATTCGGGAATTAATAACACACGGTCAGAGCCAATGAATTGAGTAGTCAGAGAAGACGAAGACAAGCCATTTGCGATCGAGGAACCGTTGGACCGAAGTCGCCAAATGGGCAAATGGTTTAGGTTTCCCGCGAGCAATATTTGACGAGGGGAATTCCGAAAAGTCAATGTGGGACGTGATTTGAAGCGGAAAACATATAGAAAATTAATTAAATGAAAGAATATATTGTTAAAGCAGGTTGTCATAGGCTCAACGTGAAACGGCTAAATGGGTTTCCATTGGGCCGGCCCAAATACTCACTAATAGGCAACACGAAGCCCAAATCTTTACTCAATTATCTTCTTTATTGCTCTTAAATATCTGGTGTCATGCTTTTCGCTAGTCACCGGTCCGTCCATCCGGTCCGATCCGACGCATGAAATGACAGTGAAAGCTGAGAGAGCTTCACAAGTAGCCAAGCCGACAACTTCTGTTCGACAAAGACCGGTCTAGTTCCTTTTGGCAAGTCGTGCGTGGGTCCACCTCTCCACAAACCGCATGCCACGTGTACCAACCACATCCAAATACGAATCCTCGTTGGAGCTTTCGAGGTTGTTGCCACGGTAGCGCTCTGGATATCGAACATGTGGACAGTGGCGCGTGAGTAAAAGGTGAGATGAGCGAATGGAAGCAGGCGGGCGGGCGGGTGTAAAGTACGATGAAAGGCTGAGACGACAAGGAGCAGCAGCACCCGCGTAAAAGTCGAGGGTTCTCCCTGCCAACAAAGACAATTGCTTTTTCTGATCCTTGCATTGCCCCCTTTTTTTCTTTTCGTTTTTCCCTTCGCCTTCCCCTTCCCCTTCCTTCTCACGCTTCTCCACGCGCGTGTTTGTTACACCCCCGCATGTTCTCTTGCTTTATGCTACACGCGCTATACCTATAACTTATTTTCATCGTTTTCTTCGCAGATGAACAATATGCGAGTGCCACCGATTCAATTTTAAAATTATCTAATTTGTTCCTTCCAGTTTAATATTTAATAATTCTTCCCTCTCCCAAATTCCTCATTCTCCATTAAATTAATAATTTTATATTAAATCTTAAATTATTCTTTCTTTAAATTAATATTTTTATTTTAAATCTTAAAATAATCCAACCCTTATTTCACCCTTCTTTTCGGTAAAATTTCAACCAAGCTTTCGAGTTAAATTATTGTTCAACAAAGCTATCAAATACATTAATTAACAAAAAATAAAACAAAAGATAAAATTATTATTTACCCTATTCTTTAATGCAAATTTTCATCAAATTTTTTTATTATTATTTCAACAATGCATTTTTAATATTAAAATTAATACATTATCTACCCAACTATATATTATGATTGAATATTGTGTTTAAATTATTTAATATCAGGTAAAAAAAAAATATATATGTATCTCAGCAAGTTTATACCGTAATTCGTTGGGTCGCTATAATGGCCCCTCACATCTCTATAATGATCTTCACCAAAGTATAACTATAAGTACTTTTATTTTGGTCAAACAAAAATTACATGTGAATTGTACTTTTTATGTTGTTCCAATTTTGGAGTGTAAAAATCCACTTCATGCAAATTATAATAATTATTCATTATAACCTATAGTTTTGACTCGAAAAATATTGACCAAAATAACCAAAATGACCCTGAGTCAAAAAATTATGGTTTTTTATTTTAATGATTATCATTAAAACAACAAATTGACGTGTCCAGAGGAAGGGACTAAGATTTGATTTATCTTTTCCCTTCCTTATCCTTTGCCCCTATGGCATGCACGTGATGCTCCCACAATAATTGACATAAAGGTACGAGTTCTAAAATTATTCATACCACTTGATTTAAAATATAATTTAATTCTATATTATTAACAAAACATTTTATGGAATATAGAATAAGGTAAACAAAATATGTATCCGTCACCGTGGAAATTAAAAGAATAACAATAAATTTTCAAAATTACTTTCAGCTACCCTCTTAATTTATTTGTTTCCATAAATAGTGAAGCATTTGTGGTCGAAATAAAATTGGATGACATAAACCCACCATTTTAAGTTATTTTTAAAAGAAATTATAAAATAATGTTTATCTCGATAGCAACGTTCATTGATTGTGGGTTTATTATACTGAATGATGATGGTATTGATTAAAAAGAGATACCCTATGAATCATAATAATTAATATTATTATACAAAGCTAGTGGGTAGGCCGTAGGGCTAGGGAGGCCTACAATTTTAAAAAACCTTACAATTAAAACAGTATCTGTATTAACTAATGTAGGTTCCCAATAGGCAATGCCATTCATTTTTGGTACAAACAAAAATTACCTCCATATTTGTTTCATGTCTCTAGAAATTATGTAACGATATGGAATACGGATATGTAAGGATTAAAAACGAATAATATATGATTAAAAATATCGTACCCATAATAAAAATGAATTAATGTTTTTTAAAAACTTATATCATACTCGAGCCATGTGATTAGTAGCTGAAATAGTATAGATATTAATTATACAATAGAACTAAAATAAATACATGTATAAATAAGAGTTTAAAAGTACATTTCATTAATAACGAGTTGCCTCTACCAATATCATATCAAAATTTTCTGTATAAATAATATAATATGATACTTGTATTAATTAAAAATAATGTTATTTAGATGAATAAAGGGATTGAATGAGGTAAGTAGGTCAGTATTAAAATGAATTCATGATAGGATTGTTTGAGTGTCACGAGAGGAGGAGAGCGCGTGGGGTTAATAAAAGCGTTTCCAGCAAAGGCTAAAAGCAGAGACTGAGAGAGAGCCAATTGGGTATTGAGTTGTAACCCGTTTTGTCCGGGTTATGGATGGAGCCCCCTTCTAATCCCATGTATTTTATCTTTTAATTTTATTTAAATTAATTTTATTTAAATTAATTTTATTTAAATTAATTTTATTTGTAATATAAATATAAAAAACAAAAAAAAAAAAAAAAAATGGGGGGTCTGGGTAAGCCCTGTGGTTTGGGTTTATTGCAATTGATGGCTCTGAAAGGGACCTGCCATTCTCATATTACTATTTGACACATTTGTCCACACCTTCTTCCATTTTACAAATTTGCCCCGGAGAAAAGATTCCCCCCCATGATAATGAACATGAATTTTGCTAATTATACTGTCTACAACTAAAACCCCTTTATTTATTTAACTTTCCCCATTTCTTCTTTATTTTACATCTCTCCCCCCACTTCATGCCTTCCCATGCTGTGGACAATATCTACTAGTGATAGACTTGAGTTGTTACAGATAATATTAGAGTGTCGGGTAGTGTGCCAGCGAGGATGCTGAACCCAAAGAAGTGGATTGTAGTATCCTACATCAGTTGGTGAAGAAGAAAGAAACATTCTTTACAAGACGGTGGAAACTTCTCCCGAACAAACATGTATTTAACGACGATATGTAACGGGCCAAAACGAATAATTACGGTGATGTTTGACTGTTGTAAATGATATTTGAGTTATATACCAAACAATGTGTCAGCGAGGACGCTGACCCCAAGTAGTAGAGGGGAACTGACATTTTCCTTAATTAAAAAAGAATTTAAACAAAATAAAACAAAAGTGGGAACTTTGCATTAGTTTTATACCTACTATTAATTATATTGTATATAGAAAAGTGATGAATAAATGTTAATTAGTTGATTAAAAAGGCTAATTAACCTTTGATGGAGTTTAATTAAGTACAGTCATTGAAAGGCCTGACTATAATAATGAGCACTTGGTGTATGCAAAATGACGAAAGAATCTTAAAAAGAAGTGGAATTAAGTCGTTCATAACTAAGAAACGCCAATATTGTCCCAACCACTAATTAATTATACTGTCCCCTAAATGGATAGAAATGATTGCTCTATTTCTATATAGTCCTACTCCATTGCTCTCTGTCAATGACTTATTAAATTCAACTCATTAATTCTTACTTTCAAAGTTACATTCATAATTTTTTTTAATTAAAAAGTTAAAAGTTCGAATTTTTATAGGCAAAGAGACAAGTTAAGGAATAGAAAAGCAGGGGAGCACAGAAATGTCTGTAAAATAATGATTAAGAGAGGGGTGGGGGGTGGGGGGGGGGGGGGGAAATTGTTGAAGATGATTAGTAATGATTAAGAAATGGAATGAAGATTTGAAATTTGGAACAGAGGAGGACAGGGAAAGAGAGAGAGAAGGGAAACAGGGGAAAGCAATGTAAAGGGATGAGGGATATGAGAGAGATTTGTGGGGGTAGAAAGGGACAGGATAGACATCCCACCGGAAATACGGGCGAGCCGTACACAAATCGCTGTTTATTCAGTTTGTGATATTATAATAATGGTGGAATTTAACTAACCAATGCACTACGCACACTCTTCCTTACTTTTCTTTCTCTCTCTCTCTCTCTTCTTCTTCTTCGTCTTTCTGCTATACATCACACCTTGCAGTCGCAGTATTGCAGCAGCTGCAGTACTGCTTCAGTTCAGTCTCTGCAGAACCCCAGAGAGAGAGAGAGAGAGAGAGATGAAAACCCATTTCTCTTTTCTGTTTCTTTCTTGCTTTTGTTTTAATTCAAACATCAAATCCTGATTTGATATCCCCCAAACCCATTTCTCTCTAATTTTCATTCACCCACCACCACCAGGTCTCTTCTCTGTCTTCCACGAGAAAAAAGAAAAGGGAAATACGAAATTTGGGTGAGAGAGAAAAAGGGTGGAGCGAGACAGAGTTGTTTGTGTGGGTGTGAGAGAGAGCGAGGGAGCGAGGTCTGTGTTGTTTTCTGAGCGAGACCCTCTTTTAGCATTAGCGAAGGTGCACCCATTTCTAAAAATGCAGGCATGAGCACTTCCTCCTCTTACCTCGCACTCTTTCTCCTTCCGTTCCTGAAACTTTCTGAAACCCCTCATCTTTTCACCCTCCTATTTAACCTCCCTCTTTCTTCTCCTTCTACTTTTATTATTGCACGCCTCTTCTTTCTTCTACGCGTACCATTCAAATGGCTGCTCTTATCGATCTCAATACCACTGAAGAAGACGATGCTCCCTCCTCTGCTGCTTCCTCTGCTTCCTCTTCCTCTGCTTCTGCTTTAACCTCCTCCCCTTCGCCTTCTCTCACCTCCTCAATTTGCTTGGA